GAGGGAAATCCCAAAACCTCTTAGCTTAAAGGGGGATTTTTTTGTTTGGGCAGTGTTTGACCGGGGTACCATTTCTTTTCGGGCCCGCGCGCCAGAGGAAGCACCGCGCCCGCCCCCCCCCCCCCTCGTCATCCCCCCACGGCCCGCGCCCCCTACCCGCCCTCGGTATAATATACGAAGCCGTACACGCGCCTCTACGCCCAGGCGCAGGCCTAGCGCGCCCCGGCCGCCGCGCGCCGGGGGCGGGCGCGCGCGCGCGCTCTCCCCCCCCGCGCCACCTGCCCGTTTGCCGTTTTGGGCGATGCGGCCCTAATACAATGCAAGGAGACGCACCCCGCGTGACATACATGGTAATTCATCACACCGGCCCGAACGCGCTGGAGAGACCGTTGTACGTCCCGATGGCCAAGAGCGCAGAGCCGCTCGCCGGAGTCACCCACTCGAACCTGCGCTGGGCGCTCACGATCCTCGTCGCCGAGCCGGCGGCGATGCCGGCGAGGAGGACTGGCGTGGTCTCGCCAAGCGAGTAGGCGGTGAGGAGCGCGGCGCCCAGCAGCGGGTCGCCCTGAGTGGCGACAAAGCCCAGGAGGGAGACGAGCACGGGCGAGGCGCACGGCGAGGCCACGAGCGCGGAGGAGGCGCCGAAGAGGAAGGCTCGGGCGGGCCGCGGAAGCGAGACGCCGCCGGTCGACAGCTCCAGGGAAGGGAGCTCGAACGGCAGGACCTTGAGCAGGTTGAGGCCGAGCACGCACGTCAGCAGCGAGACGAGCAGCCGGAGCGCGGCGAAGGACGCAGACTCGGTGCCGCTGCCGAGCATCGCTCCCGCCGACGCGGCCGCGACGCCAAGCGCGGAAAGGGAGCACGCGAGCCCGCCCGCGAACGCGAGCGACGCGCCAAAGGAGGAGGAGGAGGAGGAGGAGGAAGACTGGGACCCGCCGCCGCCACCCTCGTCAAAGCTTCCGCTGCCGATGTAGCTCATCGTGAGCGGCAACATCGACAGGCAGCACGGCGTGAGGGAGGTGAGCAGCCCCGCGCCGTAGAGCACCAGCGCGGAGACGGGCGAGAGCGACGTGAGTTCGTGAGAGACAGCCGCCTCCACGGCGACCTGCGCGGCGACCTGCGCGTCGTAGAGCGCTACGCCGAGGTCACCGCCGAGCGACAGCGAGGGCGAGGCGCAGCGCAGCGAGGGCGACGTGCGAACGAGCAGTGGGAGCAGCATATACACCCCCCCCCCTGTCTGATACGGTGCGCGCGCGGCCCTTCCGGAAGGCTCTCCCAATTGCTGTTCACAGCTACTCGAGTAGGGACGGCCTCTGCGGCAAAGTCAAACCACCCACCTACCGCCTACCATTTGTGTATAAATATATACACCGGTACACGTGCGCGGCCTTCCGGAAGAATTTGTGTGCCGGATTCAACACGACAGCGTCGACCGCCATGGCACCTCCAACATGTGTGATGCTGCCATGGCAAACCTTCCACCCTACATGCCAGTCACCACCAATGTGCCCGGCATGTGCGAGCACAACCCTCGATACGGGCTGAGCCCTGGTGTCGAGGTGTCGAGCGAGGCCCGGTGTCGAGGGTGTCGAGCTGCTGTCGAGGGATAGAGGTGTCAAGGCCTGTCGAGGCCTGTCGAGGCCTGTCGAGGCCTGTCGAGGCCTGTTGAGGCCTGTCGAGGCCTGTCGAGGCCTGTCTAGGCTGGGACCATGCTTGTACGTGTCCTGTCGCTTTTCATCCCGCGGCGGGGACTACGATCGCATAGGCTAGGAACGGTAGACGGCTAGAGGTAGCGGAGAGCGCCCGCCCGCTTGCGGCTGTACGGTGTGCAGAGGCTAGACGCGTATATAAGTGAGCGACCGTGTCATGTACAGCGAAACGCTAGCGTTGAGCTCAGACACAGACTGCTCGCGCGGCAAGACCACAAATTACCCGAGAGCCATGACGCCGTGGGGCTAGCAAGAACACATGGCAAGACAGCCGAAGACTCCCGGATGTACGTACGATCGGCAAAACCAAAAGGCGCTCTACTGTCCTGTGTAGGCGGGTCCTCCCTTGACCGACGTGCCGGAGCGCGCTCAGTCGTCCACGCCGGCGTGGGCGGGGGCCGCCCTGCAGGCACGCGCACAGTGCGTGATCCACGGAGAGCGACGTGGTTCCATGTGTGGGGATATTACATCATCGCCTCGCGAGGAGAAGGGCCTGCAATATACATCGTCTCCTCGGGCGGGTTCCATGTTCGGGGATATTACATCATCGCCTCGCGAGGAGAAGGGCCTGCTATGTACATCGTCTCCTCGGGCGGAGAAGGCCCAGCATGTTACATGAAGCGCCCATGCCAAAGAACGCAACTCCGCGAGTGGTACTAAACCACATGGAAGTCAAAATGCCACTCGTCTTTCTTCATCACTGACCCTCACAGCAAACGGCCTGCCTCAGGCGACAGGCAGATGGGGTATCCGCGGAGCCGTGCGCCGCTGTCCGTGAGGCCGCTGGTTGTCGAGCAGGGGGTGCTGTTGCTCCGTTGCACGCAACACGACGAAGAGTCTACGTCGCAGTAGGGGATGGTCGCCCACACGTAGCAGTAGTTTGGGTATTCGTCCCAGGCTGGCGAGCCGGCAGGTTCGGCCCCATACTCTCCGTCGCCGCCGGGACACGCCGCAGCAAAATAGACGGAGTTGCACCACGCCGCTCCAATGCCTTCGCACGCGTCCGTCCCCGTGAGTTCGCCGTACTTTCCATACTGCTCGTACGACTGCGCGCAGTAGCACTCCGTGTTTGCTGGATTGTCCTTGCCGTTTTGCAGTCCAAAAAGCGCGTAACCGCGACCGATGCAGAAGGCCTCGCAACTGTAATGGGTGTAGCCTTGCGTAATCTCCTCGCTATCATCGCAAATGCAGTGCTTGTAGAAGCCGCTGCAGGGGTCGCGAAACTCGTCGTTGTTGCAGCGTTCGCTTCCGTCGCCAAGCCCTCCTCCCCCTAGCGTGTAATATTTCGTGCAGGTACCTGTTTCCTCCTCCTCCCTCATTTCGCCGGCGTTGGTGGTGATCCCGAATGCAGGTGAGCCGGGCTTGCCTTTCTTGTACCGCTTGCCATAATGGATGCGATTTCCATCCCCGCACTGGCACCGTTCACCCTCGTTTGCACAGATGCGTTTCTTGGCCTGCTTGGGCATAGCTCGGTTGGGCATGTCTTTGAAGGACCCAATGTAGGTCGGAGTTGCGCAATTTGGGGGCGGGCTCGGCGACATGGACGGCGGTGGAGGGGGTCCCGACGGTGTCGGCGGACTAGGAGGTGTGGACGGCTCCGGCGGCGGCGGCGACGGTGGGGACAAGGGTGCACAGCATTCGTTGAGAGAGGCGCCCGCCTTGTCGGGGTAGAAGACGAGGCCCGACTCGCATTCCACCGTGGCAGGCGACATGGCGGACGGCTGCGCTGCGGTCTGCGTGAGCGCCCAGTACGCGCAGGAGTAGTGATTGGCCTCCAGGCATCCGTTCGGATACATATCAGGGTTGCCATCGCCATCGCTGTCGACCTGCACGATCTCGTCAAATGGGCAGTTTGCGCGGTAGTCAAAGACGCGATTGCCATCGGCGTCGAGGAGGTACGACGTGGGCGCGCAGCACGGCGGGAGGAGGTCGGAGTTGGTCGTCGCGAGGTCCGGCGTGTAGACGATGCCGTGACCGCTCGGGCCGTCGAGGAAGACCACCCACTGCCACAGCATAGCATCCCGTGCGGTCGGCCCTTGCTGCAGCCGGAACTGGCGCGTGATCACCTTGCCCTCGCCAACCACCTGCTCCGCGGAGTTGCTCAGTGTAGAGCTCGTCTCCGAGCTGAGGGTCGCCGAGGACTCAGAGCTCATGTACGGCGAGCCAACCTTCATCTTCATCGCCTTTGTGCTCTTCAAGCTCCGGCTCACCTCGCTCGCGGTGATCTTGGAGCTGGAGGTGGACAGCCCGACCTTGAAGGCAACGTCCCAGTTTCCGTTCGAGTAGCCGAGAGGCATCCACTGCCCCCACTGGTCCGGGAACAAGGTGTCGGCTATGGGTGGCGCGGCGGTGCAGCAAGTGAGCTCATAGTGGAACGCCGAGTCGGAGTCCTTGACAAGCTCGAAGCCGGAGAGCACGCCGGACTCGCCAAAGGCGTCTGCTGGGCACGAGACCGTCGCGCCGTCGGAGGCAGCGAGCGAGGTGGTCATCCAATCCTCGGAGTGCCACTGCACTGTCTCGCCGGGGCTCGTTGAGGTGTGAGAGATGCACTGGAGGGCGGGCGGCTCGGGCATCGCCGTCGTCGCCGCCAGCGGGCAGCAGCGGTACGTGTAGCTGAACGTGCCGGACGGGGTGGTCGATGGAATATCGTCTTTGAGTGCCGCGTTGAGTCTGAAGTTCTTGCTGCAAGCCACCTTCAGGCGCGGATCGGCGAGACGCCTCGGGTTCAGGTACGAGCCGTAGTACTGCGAGGAGCGGGCGTACTGATTCGTCCATGATGTCCGCACCTCGCCGTTGACAGTTTCGGTGGTGATCTCCTCGCACTGGTCGGCGTCAAGCTCGTTCCAGCTCTCGCAACACTCGTAGTCGTAGTAGACGTACTGACCCCAGCCGTAGCGCTTGTTATCGGCGAAGTATCCGCTTGCGATGCAGTTGTTCTCGATGCCCGAGACCTCGGAGTTCTTGTAGTAAGGCACACAGTTCAGGTCGAAGGCGACAAGCGGCCTCGGCCTCCCAACCTCCGTGGTGCAGAGCCCGCCCACGCGCAGGTCGTCGAGCGTGTCGGCGAAAGAGTATGTTGGCCTGGTGGCGTAAGCCTTGCGCTCAGAGCATTGACCCGAGGCGATCGTAGTTCGCTTGACGGTGGAGGTGATCGTCACGTCCCCGATCGGCTGCCCGGCCTCGTCGCAGAGGCGGACGGGCGTCTGATTGCCCACAGTCATGCACTCGCCCGCCTGGTTGCCGCCGTCGACCGCCTGTCCCGGTAGGCAGCACGGCGTGCCAACGCTCTCAACGATGATCACGACGCCGGTGTTGAGCACGACGTCATCCTGCTTGTATTCGAACGTCCACAGCGGGTGCGGTGCGGCGAGGCTCTTGTCGCATTCCAGATCAGGCACGCCGCCACACCAGCCGAACTTGTAGTTTACCGATTGATCCATGGTCGTCGACGAGGTTGTGGTCTGCGAGAAGACGTTGGAGGTGGTCTGCGCGGTGCCGAAATCTGTCGACGCACTGACGCTTTTGCCGATTGCCACCTCGGTCGACGCGCCGCTCGCCAGCTCTGTGGTGGTCGCCATACGGGATGAAGAGCTCTTGGTGTCCTTGGTGGACGTCTCGACTGCGTAATCGCGGAACCTGATGGCGAAGGGCGGGGAGGTGAGGAGGGAGGGATGTGAGGAGGGAGGATAGAGAGGAGCAGTCGATCATTACCAGCCCACCCACTTCCACGCACCCGTCACGGTGGAGGTGAGCTCGTCATTGCTCGAGCCACCCCCTCCCTCTCGGCAGCACTTGTAGCGGAATCGCACGCCAGGGTAGGTTTGCGACCTTTGCGTACCGTACAACAGCGAATCCATGGCGAGGCCGACGAACTCCGGCGTCTCGATGACAAACGTGCTCAGGTACGAGCCGCTCGGGCACTTCACCTCATGCCCGTCGAGGATGAGCACGCCGCTGTAGTAACCCGACCACGGCGTGTAGTATTCGTCACATACCAGGGGCGTGAGGCCAGCCTCGCCGCGGCGCAAGCTAGTGCACTCAGACACCCACTTGCTGTCCGTGAGCCGGAAGGCATGCAGCAGCGACGGCGGCGGCGGCGGCACGCTCGCGCGCTGGCAAAAGTTGCCCGATTCCGAATCGTCGTCAGCCGGTACGTCGCAGCCGCTCGCGGAGCCAACCACGCGGTGCGTCTCTCCCGCCTGGTTCGTGCAGCTCTTGTCGGGCACGCCATCCGCGTCGCAGTCGAGGTAGTCGGTGTACTCGAAGCGCGTGTCGGTACTGTCGTCCGTCGCCTCGTATTGGAGGTTAGGCGCCGTGCACCAGTTGGGGTCTGGCTTGGCGCACTGGTGATTCAGCACCTCGGTGCCGGGCCCGCATCCCGCGTTGACGTCGTTGAAGCTGAACAAGTCCCACGACGGGATCTTGGCGGAGCTTTGCAGCGGGAGAGGATCAGCAGAAAGTCCCGCAGGCTGCGGCGCGCAGCACAGCTCGATTTGGTATGTGGTGGCGTCGCTCGAGCTGCGGTAGAGTCGGAAGGCGGTGAGGAGGTCTGTCTCGACGGCGCACGAGACTGGGTGGTCTGTCAACGACAGCATGCTGCCGTAGTCGCCGCTGCCAGATGACTGCGGCGCGGTGCGCAGCGCCGTGCCGCCGGGGCAGAAGTCGGATTTGTATGGTGTGGGCAACGGCGCCTGGGAACCGCAGACGTCCGTACCAAACTCACTCAGCCGCCTTCTCGCGCGAGAAGCCGGTGGTTGGAAGCCGGCCTCGAGGAGCGCCGCGTCAGCGGCGGCGGTCAGATCAGCGGTCAGATCAGCGGGGTCCTGCATCTCGTCGACGGTGAATGCGGAGCAGTCCATCTCGTCGTTGCACACAGTCAGCTTGTAGTTGGGGCGCTCTGCGTCGATGATGAACGCCTCGCCATTCCACACATAAAGGCGCCGTCCCGTCTGAGTCTCAAAGTAAACCGCCGTATCGTTGACGAGGGTCGTCTCGGCGATGTTGAGCGCAACGCGCACGGGAGGGCGGCCAGGCAACACGGGGTCGTAGTAGGAGACACTCATCGTGGCGACGCTGCCGAGCTTCCCCGGCTGCCCCACGTAGACGGGTGCCACGTACAGGGGCAGAGTGACTGTTGCGCCGCCGCGGCGTGTGGCAACTAGCTTACCCGAGCCCGCTAGGACCGGTCGTGAGCCGTTCAAGTTTTGGAAGAGCGCATCGGGTATCTTGGTGAGGAGGTCCTGGATGTCACAGCTCGGCGGAGGCGGTGGCGAGTCGAGCGGAGCGAACGTCGTGCCGCGCCCAGTCGGATTGACGTCGGCAGCAGCAGGGACAGCTGCAGCAACGGAAGGAGCTTCCAGAACGTTGTTGATGTCACCGTTGACGACGGTGTCGGTCGGCAGCGCGTGGACAGCGAGGCCGAGGAGGGATATCATCTTGAGCGTTTGATCTGGCAGCTCCCTCGCTGAGGGAGCGGAGGACGCACCTGCGGGCAGCACGCCAGGTCATGAACGGTCGCGAAGACGCGGTCGGAATTTTTCGTGCATCCATGGTGCTCGGACTGGCACCGGGTGATCTCCAGACTAGCGTCGATGGTCTGTGGGAGCGGCGCTGAGGGTTGCGGTCTGTAGGAGCGGCGCTGAGGGTTGCAGTCTGTTTAGGAGCGGCGCTAAGGGTTGCAGTCTGTATAGGAGCGGCGCTGAGGGGTGCAGTCTGTAGGAGCGGCGCTGAGGGTTGCGAGCGGGCGCTTTGCAGGACGGGAAGGCTGCGCTGCTGCACGCCGTGGTGGCTGGCAGAGGCGGCGGTGGAGGCAACGGCCACTGCAAGCGAGGGCCCGGGCGGCGAGGGAGGAGGTGGCAGCCGGGGAGAGTGGGTGGCGTCCCGTGAGCGTCGCTGTGGTCAATCTGTGCGCTTGCAGCCGCATGGGCTGCGCTGCTGTGGCGGTCACAGAGAGGGAGGAGGGAAAGGCCTGCCTGGAGAAGGCGCTCACCAGAGACGACCGCCCTGATTGAGGGTTACGGCGTCGCTCGGCGGTTTTTTCTTTTTCCTTTTTCCTTAAACCGGACCCTTTTCCCCCTCCCCCATTCCTCTTCTCCCTTTTTTTCTTTTTCGAGAGAAGTGTTCCTTGGCGGAAGCCGTTGGGGCCGAGCCTGACACAAGCCTTTGCTCTCCGCCAACTGCGCCTTCGCCGCCGCCTCGGCTTCCGCCTGCGCAAGCAAGCTGCGCATGAGCCTTCTCTCCGTCGACCGCCGCCGCCGCGCGCGCCTCTGCCTCGGCCGCTCGCTGAGCCACCTTCTCTGCCTCAACGACGGCTCTTGCCACCGCCTCGACCTCAGCGGCCGCCCTCGTCGCCTCCGCCTCGGCCAACGGGTCCGCCTCTTCACGCGCCTGTTGCGGCGGCTCGCTTGCGGCATCGGACGCCGCGCAAGCCTCGACCTCGGCAAACGCCTGCTCCTCCGCCTCGCGCCTCGCCTCGTCGTCCAGCCTCGCCCTCTCCTCTTGCGCCGCCTGCACCGCTGCCAACTCCGCCTCGGGAAAGTGAAGGAGAAACCTGGTACGCGGGGCCAACCCTCGGAGACCCGTGTTATGGCCCTGCGACCGCGCATCCCCCAGGGCTAGGGCTCTCTTGCCCGCAACCCGATCCCAATCGTCTGGCTACTGGGGCGCTTCTTAGCTCCCCGGTCCTGGGCGTGCGGTTACTGACTGCACTCCAAGTGCTCCAAGTGAATCAGGCCTAGGCCGTTGGGGAACGAAAGTGGGTCAAGAAAACGAGGCGCCGCGAGAGCAAGAGATCGGCAGAGGCGTCGGCGCCTCGCGGCGGGGCGGAGGGAATGGGTGATGTGGACTCGGTCTTGCGCACACGCTTCACTCCGCACGCTCGCCTCGATCAGTGGCACATCCTGCCAAATCATACCAGCGGGGGGCGGGGGCGGAGGATTGGGGTGGGGCGGCGGGAAGGCGGGGCTTGGTGGTGGCGCAGGCGGAATTTCACAAGTCCCCTCAAAAACCGCGCCGCATGCGCAGCACGTTCCTGCCATCTTTGTACCACATCTACTTGCCCTCAAAGGTATCCGGACGCGGACCAAAAGGGCCATAGCCGTCATTCTCCCCTTGGGCGCCCGGGTATTTTTCGTGCAACGCAGGTGCAACGCTTCCCAGTCAAGGTTCTAGTCGATCTTGAGAGCGCCCGAGCCAGAAGGGAGAGGGTTTACAATCCCCAGCACTTCTGCCGTTGAAGCGTTGGACCATAGGGAGTACGTTCCCAACAGTTCGTAGAAATATGCAGATTCGCACTCCAACCACAAGATTGCACCTCGATAAACTCGAGGGGCCAAAATATGCCGCGAGGAGGGCAGAGTTGCGCCGAAAGGCGGGAGAAGCCGCGAGAGCAAGGGAGCGGCAGGCGGTGGCGGCGTCGCGGGACGAGGCAGAACGACAGGAGGGAGAACGACGAGAGTGGGACGACCGCGAGAGGTGGCATGAAGGTTGCAGCGAGAATCGGCGAGGGACTGCGAAGGGAGATAGAAAGAGGCAGAGACGACCAAGGGTTAGGGTGGGCGACGGCTAGCACCACACTCCTCTCCTTAAAATCCCTGTGTGGTGGCGGCGTGCCGTCCTCCCATCCCCCTCCCTTGGGTTGTCTGTTTTCTTTCTTTATTTCTTTCTTTCTTTTGCAATGTGCATGTGACATGTCATGTTTATGTGTGCATGTGCATGTCCCTAAATCCCATCTCCGTCTCAGAGTAAGTGTTCGCGTTTTTGGAGCACTTGGAGCTTTGACTCCTCACATTTTGACTGGGATTTTTTCGATTTTACTAAATCCGAGATCACACGGCTCACGGGGCTTTCGCTGACGGTGACGCTCTGTCCGGAGTCCGCCGGATGACGACGTTTCTCACACTTGTGTTTTGGCAAGCCTTCCGTATCTTTAATAAAGAGGGTGCATTTTACGCAATAAATACCCGCAGACAGCACAACAATTGCGCGTCACGATGTTCGCGATACAGCGAGAAGACCAACTCACTGTCGGAGATGCGATGCCATCTACACTACTACTCGTCTCTATATCCACTAGCATTTCCACACGCGGCATGTGTTGTCTTTGGAGCCCGTGATTATTGTGTCGCCCTCGTAGTTGAATGCAGCCGAGAAGATCTCGTCGGTGTGCCCCTCGAGCACCTGCAGGTTGTCGCCATTCTCGACGTCCCACACGCGGCACGTCCGGTCGCTCGAGGCGGTGATGATCTTGTTGCCGGGCGGGTTGAAGCCCACCTTTGAGATCTCGCCCTCGTGCCCGATCAGGATCGCCTGGCACGCGCCCGTCATCGTGTTGTACACCCGCGCCGTCCCGTCCGCAGAGGCAGTCACCAGCCTGGTGCCCGTCGCGTTGAAGGCCACGTCGAGGATCTCGTCGTTGTGGCCGCGGAGCGTGTTGATGCACTGACCCGTCGCGACGTTCCACAGCTTGCACGTCCGGTCGATCGAGCCCGAGATGCAGAGCTCGCCCGTAAAGTCGAATTGCGTCGACGAGATCTCGCCGCGGTGGCCGGCGAGGGTGTGCAGGCACTCCCCGGTGGCCACGTCCCAGACCTTGGTGGTGTGGTCGAAGGAGCCGGTGATCACCTTGTCGCCGTCGTTGTTGAAGTTGAGCGACACGATCTCTGCCGTGTGGCCGTTGAGCGAGCAGAGCTCCACGCCGCGCTCGACCGACCACAGCTTCGCCGTCGAGTCCATCGAGCCGGTCGCGACGACGGCGCCGGTCGGGTCGAAGGCGAGGCAGACGATCTCCGTGGTGTGCCCGCGGAGGGTGTGCAGCAGCTCTCCCGTGTTGGCGTCCCACAGCTTCGCCGTCTTGTCAAACGAGCCCGTGACAATCTTGTCACCGAACGGGTTGTTGAAGGCGATCGCGTAGACCACATTCTTGTGGCCCTCGAGCGTGAGCAGCTCCTCGCCCGTCAGCGTGTTCCACACCTTGCACGTGCGGTCGTACGAGCCGGTGATGAAGCGATCGCCTACGCGTGACAAGATGGCCGCCCGTCGTTGCGGTGCGGAGCTGAGGTGACCGAGGCGGAGCCGAGCAGCAGCAGGCGCGTGGCCGGGACGAGAGGGCGGTGCAGCAAGGCGCGGCGGAGCGGCAGGGTGGCCGAAGGTGGAAAGAGGGCGTCGGGCGACAGGCTGGCTCGACAGCCAAGGCGTGCTGCGCACCCGACTTGTTGAATGCGCAGTTGGTCAACGGGAGGATGTGCGCGCGCAGAATCTTGAACAGGTAGAAGGCCTCGGTCTCGTGCGCCTCCTGCTTCTCGATGAGTTTGTACACAAGCTTGCGCAGCTGCGGCTTACGCGCGTCGGATATGAGCGCCTGGCGGCGGAGAACGGTGTGTAGTCAGGGGGCTCAGGCTAGCCGGTGTCCAACGGAGGTGAGGCATGTCGCCACAAAGCCGAGTGAGCGGCCAAGGCAAGAGGCAGGCGAGTGGCGTGAGGGCTGCACCTCCTGCCGCACGATTTGATTGACGAGCACCTCAACGTCGCTCTCGGGAGTGAGATTGAGAAGGTCAACAGACTTGGTCTTTAGCTCGCCTGCCTGCTCATACTCCTGTGCAGGGCGAAGGGACGAATTGGTGAGCCAGGCGAAGCCCGGAGGCTGCGGCTATGCACAGACAGGCACGCACGAGGAGGATGCCAGGCGGGTAGTAGCGCAGCAAGAAGCGCTTGAGCTTCATCCACGGCGGCTCTCGGGTCCGAAACCCTCAAGCCTAGAGCACGACGCGCGAGCGACACAAGCGAGCGACACGAGCGACACAAGGAGAGCCGTTCCAGCCGGTGAGGATGAAAAAAGTAGGCGGCCCTGCCGACAGAATCGGACCCATCCCTCCCTTGGGTTGTGTGTTTTCTTTCTTTCTTTCTTTTCGGACAGAGGAGACGAGACGGGGGCGGAGCCGCGGCTGAATCAGTAACCAGCCTCCGGCGGGGCCCCCCGCTACCATCCAAACCCGAGTACCGGTCTCAATCATGGATAGAGGCTCAAGTGTGACATAAGTGTCGCTGTCCACATAGACATACACACATACACAAAGCAACTCTCACGACACACGGGCACCGGGTGGAGCGGCGGCGGCGGCGGCAGCAGCACGCGCGGGCGGACGGATTCGGACGGGGCGGAGCAGCGACCGCCTGGGCGGCCGCTGCTCTGCAGAGCGCGCCGTCTGTCTGCGCAGCTCGAGCGCCGTCAGGTGCAGGGAAGCGTGGCGGCGCGGGGACGCGCGGCGGCGGTGGCGAGCAGGCGAGCGGCCCGCGCGCGGCGAGGCGGACAGGTGATCGGCAGGTGGGTGATGGGCCGGAGAGTGACCGCGCCCAGCGATCGGAGGCGAGCCGGTCGTCGCTCGGCCGCAGCTGACCTCGAAGGCGTGCGAAGCGCGACTGTCGGTGTCGGGGGGCGGCCGTCATGTGGCGAGGAGGGAGGACGACAAGTGCGCGTCGTACGGGTCGCTCTTCATCGGCCAGTCGAGCGGACGGTAGGTCGGTCAAAGTGAGCCGGTGTGCGGTGAGGCCGGCGAGATTCGTTGCGAGATACGGTTCGCGCCCAAACACAAGTTTGGACGCTCTGTGGACGCGCCGCAAAATCAGGCAATTGGAAAGGGGGCTACTGGGGTGGCCAAATTCACACCTCGCGGGACTACTTATGTTTTCGTAAACGTAGTCGTGGCCCCCCGCTACGTCGCACGAGTGCAACCGGGTAGCGGGGGGCTAAGAAAGCATCTTAAAATACAAGCCTCTCTCACAGCACACTGGCACGACAAGCGCCGCAGACTGGCGCGGACTGGCACACACACCGGCACACGAAAAAGAAAGAAAGCAAACATCGAACCCAAAAGAGGGATGGGAGAACGGCGGCACGCCGCCACCACACAGGGATTTCACTGGAAGGAAGGTGTGTTGCTTGAGCACTTGAGCACTGGATAGGGTCGATTCCGCGTGGTACGGGACCCCTCGATCGTCTCGCCCTCCCTCACTCCGGATGCTAAGTATTGTTTGCGGGGTATGCGCCATCTCCCTCCCTCCCTCTCTCTAACCCACCATATGAACATTCCTTTTTAGCAGCCCAGCTTCACATTCGCGATCCGCGAGATGGCGCGGTTGCGGGAGGCCAACGGCTCGATCGCCGCCGTGCTCGGCGATGTGCGCCCCACCGCGGACGTCGCAACGGCGGGCGGCGGCGGCGTTGGCTTGGCTCGGAACGGGGCCCCGGCCGCCGAGGGGAGGCGCGGCGAGGTGGTGAGGCGAGACATCGCGCGCTTGAGCTTTTGGCGCGTCGGCCTCTGCGGCGTCTCCGCCGCCGCCGGCGTGATCGCCGCCGCCGCCAGCTTGAGCACGGCCGCCGTCCCCGAGTGGCCTTGCTCGTGCGCGAGCTGCAGCGGCGTGTTCCCATCGCAGTCGCGGAGGTTGGGCGAGGCGCCCGCCGAGAGCAGCTCCGCCACCATCGCGACCTTGCCGCAGTACGCTGCAAAGTGGAGCGGCGTCCACTCGCGGAAGCCGCGCGAGTCCACCTGCGAGGCGAGGGCGGGTCTGGCTGTGAGGCTGCCGAGCTCCTCCGATTGCCGAGGCCAGCAGGGCCGCCAATGCAGGCGGCTCACCCGCGCTCCGGCCGCGAGCAGTTCCTCGAGCAGGCTCGTGTGCCCCTTCTCTGCGGCGTGGTGGAGCGCCTGCCGGCCCTGCCCGTCCCTCGCGTCGAGCGAGGCGCCAGCCGAGATGAGCGCCCACGCCTCGTCGCAGTGGTTGTAGCGGACAGCGAGGTGCAAAGGCGTGCGGCCGAGATCGTCTGGCGCGTCCAAGGCGGCGCCCTCCTCAATCAGAGACTTTGTCAAGTCAAAGCCGCCGCCGTTTGCAGCGAGGTGCAGCGAGGACTCCGCGACAGCGGGTGGGTGAGAAGAATCGGCGCGAGAGGCGGGCGGGTCATCGATGTCTGCCAGGGAAGCCATGGCGGGCATCTCCGCATCCAAGTGATCCGATAGCCAACTCCTTGCGGCGGAAACAGCAGAATGCGTGGGCTGAGCTTTGACAGAAGGGACCTGGGGTCGACGGGCCCCCGGGGGTGAAGGGACAGTCTTGACCCGATCCTCGTCGACTTTGTCATCCGAAGCGGCTGGCGCGCTGTCCGAGATGTCAGGTGCGCTGCTTTTCACGGTGATAGCAGCCCGCGAGCGTGAGCGAGCGGCGAGCACAGAGGGCGGTATCATCGTCGGAAGGGCGGCTCCCAAGGCACTCCCAAACCGACAAACCGAGCGGATTTTTGCCACGCGCGAAAAGATTTTTTTTCTGTATGCGCGGGCCGAACGCACCATGAGCACCGACCGGTGTGTCTAGTGTGTGCGTGTGTGCAGCCTGGTAAGGCGGCGGCCGGGGGGCGAGTCGGGGCGCGAGCGTAATGCAAAAAAGGGTGGAAGAAACAAATCAAAAGTTTTCAAAGGGGCGCAAGTTACGCGGCGAGGGAAAAGGATCAAAGAGGGCCACCAAAAGGGACAAAAGGGACGCGGTCACGCCAGCGGCTGGCAGCAAAGAGAAAAACTCGCGAGACTGCCAGCCATCGCCGCCGCCAGCGACGCGTGCTGTGCGGGCGTCTGTGCGGGCGTCTGTGCGGGCGTCCCGGCGTGCCTCGCGGCTGCCCCGTGGCGCGTGTGGTCGTGCACACACATGAGCAACTCGGCGGCGGCCTCGGCCTCCGACGAATTGCCACCGCCGCCTCTCGACGTGTCCTCGTCGACAGGCCTGCCGCCCTACAGAGAGGTTGTCGACGGCGACAGAGAGGTTGTCTCGCTCTCTTCGCTCGCCTCTGCCGGCAAGGCTGTGCCCGGCACGAAGCTCGAGCTGCAGTACCTCGCAAGCTCGGTGTCCGCCTCGGTCGCCGCCTCGCGCGCACCGAGTGGCTCCCAGCCCACGCCGATCGTCGGCCGACGAGCGCCGGTCGGCTTCAGCCTGAAGCCGGCCGCAAAGCTTAAGCCGTCTGCCAAGCGCCTGCCCGCCGCAACGGACACGCCTCTGGCCAGCGTCGCGACAGCGGAGGTGGCGGCGGCGCCGACAGCGGCGGCGCCGAAAGCGGCGGCGCCGACAGCGGCTGAGGCTCCGGCCCCCGCAGCGGCGGCGGCGGCGGCGGCGGCAGCGGCGGCGGCGGCGGCAGCGGCGGCGGCACCGGCACCGGCGGAGGCGGCAGCGGTCATGTGCGAGAGCGAGGAGCTCTTAGCGGGGAAGAGGCGCAGCAAGGAGGGTGAAGGAGGTCGGAGGGCTGAGCGGGAGAGGACGGGCGAGGCGCGGGGCGACGCGCGGCGGGACGGGCAGGGCCGCAAGGGCCGGGAGGGCCGCGAGGAAAGGAGGCGAGGGGAGGAGGACGCACTTAGATGCCACACTTCAACGCTGCGCAAGATGCCGCAGATTGTGCGCGGGCACTGCACTCCACGAGACCAACCACGTCGTGTCTCTCCTTTCCGTCCCAAGCCCGGCCCTCTTTGCACCAGGAGGCGAGAAGAGCGCACAGCAGTCGAGGTCGTCCGAGCCGCCGATCGCCGCCGCGCCGCCGCCGATCCCGCTCCGCGTCGCGCTCCGCGTCGCGCTCGCCGCGCTCGCGCAGCGACGCCGGCAGGCAACGGGCGGCTCCGCCGGAGGAGGGGCGCGCTTGCGAGCAGCAGCAGCAACGACAGGAGCGAGGACAGCCGCTAGGAGAGCAGCGAGGACAGCAGCTAGGAGAGCAGGCCCCGGCCGCGGCGGCAGAGCCGCGCGTGGTGCTCACTGCCTCGGAGGAGCGAGAGGCGGAGCTGCGCGAGCATCAGCTCCGCGCGCTGCTGCTGCAGAGAATGCAGGGAGGGTCCCAATGAGCTCTTATATAATGCACTTTCTCCTGCTTCTCACGCTTCACCCACTTAGCAGCCACTTCACGCGGCCATCACGGGATTGTCTTCGTGCACGGACCGCAGGCATGCTTTGTCATTTCTACCGGCATTTCAGAGTTCATTATTGTACGAAAGGGTTGAGAGGTCGACAAAGGCTCTACGGCTCTACAGCACTATAACACGTAACACTAACAGGTGAGAGCTGAGACGTGAGACTGAGAGCTCAGAGCGCGACGAGAGCGTCTGCGGACCGCTTGCGGAGAGACTACTCTCCGCGCGTGGTTGAGAGGAGCGGTCTCAGTGTGACACCCTGGCCCTCTCACGCCCCAGGGTACCCAGAGAGGGCGGATACTGACGAACTCGCGCCCATGGATTCACAAAGCTGCCTTAAGGCCCGAGTCCCCTAAAGCTCGGCGCGGGCACCGCGGCCTCGGAACAGCAATGCGCCCGGGCGCCTGCGGGCGGACCCTCAGCTCACAGCACGTCACAGCTTTCACAGCTCACGCACGGTGGAGCATGTGCATGTGCGTGTGCGTGCATCCACATCTAGAGGGCGGGCGGGGCAGCTTGCTCGCACGTCGCGTGCCTCGACCGGCGCCTGCCGTGAGAATTTACGTTGCACATGCTCCACCGTGCGTGATGCCTCGACCGGCGCCTGCGGTAGACTTTACGTTGCAAGCGCCTCTCGCTGCGGCTCAGCCGCATCCAAGCCGAAATGCCGGCGGACGGCCGCCACGTCGTTGCTGACCAGAGTCGGGACCGCCGGCAGGCAGACCTTGAGCACGAACCCGACCACCGAGGAGAGAAGTCGGTCGTCCTCGCCCAACAGCACAGCCAGCGTCTCCATCCGCGCATCGAGAGTCGCCTTGTGCTCGGTGCCCCAGCGGATGCACCTCCACGTCTGCCGCATCCCGGGCACCTGGCACTGACGCAGGTCCCAGAGGACCCCAAACTTCTCGCCGCGCTCGCACGCCCGCAGCGAGTAGCGTTCGAGGAGGTCGATGGCCTCGTCGGTGATGGGCGCGGACGCCGCCTCCATTCGCAGCACGGCACCGAGCGTGGGGTGCGCCTCGAAGTGCATCGTGAGGCAGCCGGCAGACTCGGACGGTATCAAAGGGTCGGCGCTGCTGCTGGCAGCGTCGCCGAGAGCGGTGGGCATACACACACACACACACACACACAACTGTGCCGGGGGCCTGGGCCCGGCCGGGGGGCACAAGTTTCTGTTTTTCTTTTGAGCTGAGCCTTCATGTTTTCTTTTCCAAGGTCTTTCGAGGCTTCCTCGCCTTTGCAAGGGTTACCAAGGACTCATAAAAAAGAAACAAATGCCGCGGGTTACAGCGTCTCGTGGGTGGTTCCGCTTCAGTGGGTGGTCCTAAGCTCGTGAAGCGCGCAGCGGGGTCAGATAGCGGGCCTCAGCCTGTATCCGTGCCCAGCGGCGCCACTCGCGGACCGCTGCGCGCTGCGTCGCCTGCCTCTGGATATGCCGAGGACCGAGCTGCCAGCGATCCTGCCCGCGTCGGGCCGGCTCGGCGCCTTTGTTTTCAGTGGTCGTGTCATCGGCGCAGGCGCCTGCGCGAAGATCTACCACGCAACGCACGAGCCGAGCGGGCGGGACGTGGCCGTCAAGGTGCTCGACCGGCGGTGGATTGGCGGGGCGCTTCCACTCGAGGTCCGCGTCCACCAAGCCGTCACCGCGTCGGGCCACCCGCACCTCGTCCGCTTCCTCGCGCACTCGCGCGTGCGAGACCCCGAAGGGGACGTCCACTGCCTCGTGATGGAGGCTTGCCACGGCGGCGACGTCTTCTCCCTCCTCGAGGCGGTCGGCCCGCTGCCCGAGGAGCACAGCCTCCACATCTTTGCGGGCGCCGTCTCTGGCGTGATGCACATGCACTCCCTCGGCGTGGCGCACCGCGACCTCAAGCCAGAGAACCTGCTGCTCGACGCGAGCGGCGCGTGCCGGATCTGCGACTTCGGGCTGAGCCACGTTGCGCGGCTGACGCAGGTGGGGGGCAGCGGCGTCCTCGACTCGCGCGCGCGCGACGCGTGCGGCACCGCCTCGTATGCGCCGCCTGAGGTCTTCCTCGCCGCCGACAGCGCGCGGAACGACCCCGACGTCGCCGACGTCTTATCTCCCCTCCCATGCATACTCTTCTCCGGACTCTTGCTTAGGTACGACCCGTTCGTCGCCGACGTCTGGTCGCTCGCGGTGACGCTCTTTGCGATGGCGCTCGGCTTCATGCCCGTCGAGGTGGCCACGATCCAACCCGAGCATCTTAGACACCCGCACCCACCCCTCTTCAAGCCAAGGTGGTAAGCAACCTTCATTCAAGCCCAGGTGGCCAGGGCGTCCGACTCGCGCTTCGCCCGCCTCGCCGCCGCGCAGCGAGCCGGCGCCTCCGGCGTGGCGGCGTTGCTCGGCCTGTACGGGATGGAGGCGGGCGCCTCTCTCTCTCCCAGGCTGCGCTCGCTCTGTTGGACGGTGCTGTGGAGGGCGCCTCTTCACGCCTGTGCGTGGGGACAGGCTGCTCGAGCTGCTCGACGGGATGCTGCACGTCCACCCGCCGTGCCGCTGGCCGATGCAGGCGGTGGCCACGTGCGCGTGGCTGCGCGAGGGGCTCGCGGCGACCCGGGGAGGCCTGGGGGGGGGCGCGACGGTGGTGGCGCGGATGTCGGCCGAGTCAGCGGAGGGCAGCGAGCCAGCGGGAGGGAGGGAGGGCGCGGACGCGGCGGACACCACGGGCAGGGCGGACGAGGCCGCGACGGCCTTTGCGGACCTCAAGATCCGGAGAGTCGTGACTGGGTAGGGGGTGTGGCGTGGCGCTGCGTTCAGTGTGAGAGAGAGGAGCTTATCAAAAACACAAACTGCTCAAAATTAACTTGCTTCGGACCGCCAGTCCCGTAAAGAAAGAAAGAAAACAGAGAACCCAAGGGAGGCCGTCGCCCACCCCCTTGCGCTTGGGCGTCTGCCTCTTTCTATCTCTCTTCGCAGTCCCTCGCCGATTCTCGCTGCAACCTTCATGCCCACCTCGCGGTCGTCCCACTCGCCGTCCCGTGCGGAATTCCCCACGTGAATTCTTTCGCGAGCCCTCCTCGGCGCTTGTCTGAACGACGATCGCGCAGCGATGCAGAGGTGGGGGTTCCTCAACCTGCGCGGCACGGCTGACGAGGAGGGCTCGATCGACCTGGCCGAGGACCAGCTGCTCATCGGTCGCACAAGCAAGTGCAAGATAAGGTATGCCGACACGACCGTCTCGTCGGTGCACGCAAAGCTCTCCTTCGCGAGAGAGACGGGCGAGGTCTGGCTGGAGGACTGCTCCGTGAACGGCACGTGGCTCGGAGCGCGGCGGATCGGCAAGGGCAAGGTCGTCCGTCTCCACGATGGCGATATCTTCTCGCTGCTGAGGAGTGACAGTGGGTCGACCCCGCCGCAGTACTCGTACTCGATCGAGCTACTCGCCAGGAGCGGGAGTGCGGCACCAAGGCCCGCACCCAACGACGAGGAAGAAGTGTTCAGCCAGAGTCTGCCGCCGCGCGCGTACTCCGCGGGTGGCGGCACGCCACGCCAGCCTGCGGCGGCGGCGGCGGCGGCGACGGCGGCGGGCGCGGCGGCAGCGAGCCCCTCTGCAGCCGGTGACTACTACTCCACTCCGGAGGAGGTGGCGGCGGCGGTGGCGGCGGCGGTGGACGCCGCGGAGAGGGCGGCGCAGGAGCGGATGGTGCTCGCGGTGCAGACCGCGGTCGCCGACGCCAACCGCCACTCCGAGCGAGTGCGGCAGCAGGCGGTGGAGGCGGCGGCCGAGTCTGCGACGGCGCGCTCGACTGCTCTGCACGCCGCAGCGCTCAGCGAGGCGAGGCGGGCGGGCGAGGCGGGCAAGGCCGAGGCGGTGGCCGCGGCCGAGGAGGCGTCGCGGCGCGCGAGCTCCGCCGCCGTCGAGGAGGCTGCGAGCCTGGCTCGCGAGGCTGCCGCAGCCGAGCAGGAGCCGCGCCGGAACCCCTTTCCACGTTAGACTCGCCCCCGAGCCCCTACCCCCCAACCCGGGCACAGAGCCCCCACCCCGACGCCCCAGCCTCCCCCGGCGCAGGAGGAGGCGGTCGCGCGGGCAGCAGCAAACACCAAGGCCGCGTGCGAGGGCAGAGCGCAAGAGGTGCGCTGCCTGACGCTGTCTCCCTCCCTTCCTGCCTTCTCCCCCTTCCGCCTCCCTCCCACTCCCTTCCTGCCTTCTCCCCCTTGCGGAGCTCTGTGTGCGGGCGGGCGGGGGCGTGCCTCTTCACTGCTTCTCCACCCCGAGCAGGAGCTGGCGGGGAGGTTGGCGGAGGCGGAGCAGCGGCACGCCGCGCTGCTGGCCGAGGCTCTGGCGGCGGCCGAGGCGAGGCGCACGTCAGTCGTGGAGGAGGCGGTGCGGGAGGAGAGGGCGGCGAGCGAGGCGGCGGTGCGTCGGGCCGTCGCAGAGAAGGAGGCGGAGGCGGCGGCGAAGGTCGTGGCGGTGCGCGCTGAGGCGGAGGAGGAGAGGCGGCTCGCGCTCTCTGCCCTGAAGGAGTCGCTCGACCGCTCGCACGGTGAAGCTTCCTGGACGCTTGCTAGACACTTCCTAGACACTTCCTCAAGGAGTCGCTCGACCGCTCGCACGGTGGCCGCCCCCCTCTCGCCCGAGAGGAGAGGCGATGCCGCGAGGGAGATGCCGCGAAGGCTGATGCCGCGAAGGCTGATGCCGCGAAGGCTGATGCCGCGGCGCTCACACGCGCGTGCGTGCGTGCGTGTGTGCTAGGCGCTCAGCTGGCGGCGGCGGAGGAGGCGGCGTCATTAGCAACGGCGCTCGCCGTGTCCACGGCGAAGGAGCAGAGCAGCGAGCGGCTCGACGGGCTGTCTCGCGACGCGCACAAGGCGGCCAAGGCCGAGGGCGAGGCGGCGTTGGCGGAGGCTGCGAAGAAGGCGGCGGCGGCGCAGGTGGCGGCGGTGGCCGCGGCGCGGCAGGTCATGGCGGCCGAGTTCGAGGCGGATCTGGAGGGCGAGCGGATCAAGCACGCCAGCTTGGTGCGCTCCGAGCGCGCGTCTGCTGAGTTGCGCTTGAGCGCGGCGGTGATGGCGGCGGAGGAGGCGGCGGCGGGGAAGGTTGCTACGGCGCTCGCCGCCGCCTCTTCTGACGAGACGGCGCGAGCGATGGAAGTGGCGGTCGAGGTTGCGGTCACGTCTGCTGAGCAGCGGGTGCGGCACGCCGCCGCCGCCGAACGAGCAAAGGCGGTGGCCGAGGCGGAGCAGGCGCCGCTCTCCTAGCCGCTCTCCTTAGACTCGGCGGCACCCATCGCCACGCCCATGACACGTCCCGCGGACAGTCTCTGACAGTCTCTGACAGTCTCTGACACGTCCCTGACACGTCCCTCGCAGGAGGCGGTGGTGCGCGCCACCTCGCGCCTGATGGCGAAGCACCGCACGGAGCTGCGCGTCGCGGTCGAGCAGGCGGCCGACGAGGCGAGGGCCGCCGCCGAGCAGCGGGCGCTGGCCGAGCGCGCGGGCATGGTCGAGGCGTCGGTCCAGGCCGGTAGATGCCGCAGAGACTTCCGAGACAATAGCCACGGGCGTGCCGCTGCGCATGGCTGCGCTCTCTGTCGCGAGCCGCCACCGCACCTCTCCTCCCCCCTCCCCTCCCCCCCCCCGTCCAGGTCAAGGAGTGCGCACGGCGCGCCGCGATCCAGAAGCGAGAGGCGGTGGCGGCGGCGAATCGGGTCGCTGCGCAGGAGAAGGAGGCGGCGGTAGCAGCTGCGCTCGCCGAGGCGACCGCGCGCGAGCTCGAGGCGGCGAGGCGGCTTCGGCCTGAGCTCTCCCGCGGCAGAGAGAGAGGCGCCTCGCGGCTGGCGTCTTCAAGAGCGGGCCTGCGCTGCAAGTAGGTCGGAGCTCGCGGCAGAGGCGGCGGAGTCGAGGGCGCGCGCGATTCGCGAGGCGCTCCAGCAGGCGGCGGCGGAGCACGAAGCGGCGCTGGCAAAGGCGGCGGAGGCGGCGCTCGCCGAAAAGAGCCGCGCCCTGGCCACGGCGACTGCTGAGGTGGAGGCGAGGGTCCGAGCCGAGGCGGCGGAGGGGAATGCCGCCCGCGAATCTGTGGTGAGCGCGCGCAGCTGAGAGACACCGCAGACCCGCACCCACCGAGAGCTGCACACAGGGCGGCCGACTCTGCAGCAGCACTGCTCGGCCAGCCGCCTCTGCGCGCGCGCCTCAGGCGACAGCGAAGCTACTCGCGGAGAAGGAGTCGGCGGAGATTGCTCGCCAGGGCACCGCTCAGGCGGCGGCGGCGGCGGCGGCGGCGGAGGAGGCGAGAGCGGCTGTCCAGGCGGCGGCGAAGGCAGAACTAGCGGCTGCTCTCGCCGCGGCGCGCGGGGAACGGGACGCGGCCGTCGCAGCTGCGGCGAAGCTGGCCGAGGAGCGCACGCTGGAGAGGTGGCGGGCCGACGCGGTGAGCTCCGCCGCCGCCGCCCGCTCGGAGTTGAGCCGTGTGCGGGCGGAGGCGGAGGCGGAGGTTGCTTTTCTGCGCCGGGAGCTCGAGGGGGCGGTGGCGCGCAAGGCGGAGGCCGAGGGCTACTTGGCGTTGCGCACGCACGAGACGAGCGAGCAGACGAGCGAGCAGGAGTCTAGGGGTGGCGCCGGGCGGGGAGGGGGTGGGGGCGGCGAGGGCGGCGAGGCGGCTCCTGCGACTCTCGTCGTCGCAGGCGTGCCAATTTCCGAGAGAGAGAGAGGCGGAGCGAGGCGCGAGTGTGAAGCAGCCTCGGATGGCTCTCTGTCGCCGGCGAGAATAGGCGTCGGCGCGGGGAGCGTCACTCTCGACTGGAGCTGCGGCGTCGGCGAGGCTACCAGCGGAGGAGGCACTGGAGGTGGCACGCTCTACGAGCTGCAGTGGCGAGCTGCCAAGCCGGGGCGGGCGTGGGGCGAGTGGGCGACGTCGGAGAGTGCCCGCGCGATGGTCGCCCACTCTGCCACGAAGCGCAACCTCGACCCCGCCGCACTACACCAGTTCCGCGTCCGAGCGAGGGCCTCCGACGGCTCCTGGCACACGCCCTTCTCGAGCCCGACCTCGCCCCTCCGCTGCTTGCCGCTCGGGCAGCCGCAGAAGCCGCAGCAGCCGCAGCAGCCGCAGCAGCCGCAGCAGCCGCAGCAGCCGCAGCAGCCGCAGCAGCCGCAGCAGCCGCAGCAGCCGCAGCAGCCGCAGCAGCAACAGCAGCCGCAGCAGCCGCAACAGCAGCCGCAGCAGCCGCAGCAGCCGCAGCAGCCGCAGCAGCAACAGCAGTTGCAGCCCCCGCCGCGATCGCCGCAGCCGCAGCCTGCCTCCGACTCAGCTGACCCCCCGCAAGTACCCCCGACCAAAGCCAAGAAGGCTGCTTCACGCGCTGATGCGCCTTTGGCGGCGGCCCCCGGTAGCCAGAGCGAGCAGGCGGCCGAGGACAACCCGCCGCCGCCACAGCAAGCGCAGCCGCCGCCGATGCCGAGCTCGCCGCATGCGAGGAAGGAGACTCCGCTGCCGGCGAGGAGGGAGGTTCGCAGGCCGGCCGGGGCCGAGGAGAGCCAAGATGAGTTCTACCCCGAGGTCGGACGGCGGACAGCGGGCGGTTGCGGCGACGAGGTCGCCATTGACGACTTTTGCCCTCCGACCGACAAAGAGACTGTGATAGACCTCGACGACGGGGTCTACAGCTTGGCAAACGCCCGAGCATCCCAGAGGAGCAGCTCGACGGACCTCGCCGGCATGGGGCTGAGTTAGCGATGCGCTTGGGAAGGGTGTTATCCCTCCGCCTCCGGGCCCTTTGCGCGTGCTCTCCGTGGAGACATGCGTGGAGCCGGCGGTGGCGCGGAACAGGGAGCACACGCGGCGCCCGAGAACTTGTCACGGGGTGCGTGGGTGAGTGTGCTCTCGAGAGCTCTCTATCTATAGTCTAAGAGGAAGGTGTACGGTGTGTACACAGTACACCATCGTCGCATCGTGTTTGGAGTTTCGTCGTGGGAGGGCTGATGGCGGGGTTGGCTCGGGTGGACAGAGAAGTGTAAACTCACACAGCTTAGCGCTCTGCACCTTGGCCTTCTTTCTAGATTCTACTCCTACGGGGATCGGGGTGTGGTCACTGGTCTGACGTGTCTCTCTCTCTCTGTAGACCCTGAGTTGCACAGGGGTTTGTGCGCCCCGGGGCCCCTAACTGATGTGGAACGGGCGCCCTTCTGCTAACTGAGCAGTGAGCTGCTCGGCTCCCACCCCGTCCCACGCTCCCAGCGAGTCTAGACAAGCGCAAGTATTGTCATCAACAGAGTAGAAGATTCTGACCTCAGGGCCGATGTGACCAAGCGCTGTGGTAGCGTGGTTTTACCTCACACCCATCCGAGCAGTGTCGCTCACACAAACAAGCCGCAGCACACGTGACTGAAGGCCAGTGAGGGCGAGCCCATCGCTCTGTCACAGAGCTCTGAGCTGTGGCCGCACTGGCAGCAGCAGAGCAGCAGCACAGGTACCTATCTGTGCAGAGCGTGTGACTAGTGACTGTGAGCAGCAGATGAGAGCTGCTCTCCAGGCTTCAGTCGCAAAGAGAGAGATCCTGCATGCCACCGAAGGCGCTGTCGAGGTTCACCGAGCGCGGCGCAGCCCCAGGGGTTGAGCGTTGAGGTGGACTCCACACTCAGCCGGGACACACCGCGGTCACCGACGAGCGCGCGTTGCCGTTGGAGACTTTTTACTCCGGAGACAAAAAAAAACGCGCTGTGTGCACAGAGCGCGTCCCTCGATTTCCTCAACTCACGGTCCACATCTTTACACACTCACAGTACGGCTATTTACTTGAGTCTGCACAGACTGCACGACACCCTGCATGCATGCACCTGGGCGACCCCTGGGCCTCGCGGACCGCAGAGCACGTTCGGCGAAACTGATCACTAAATTTACGGTACCTCCGTGTTGAGCAACCCCTTGGCCACCTCCTCCGCCTTCTCCCGGCTCACGAGCAGCTCCACCAGCTTGAGGCCGAAGGGCAGCGCAGTGCCTGGCCCCTGGCTCGTCACGACGCAGCCGTCGACGACGACGAGCGACTCGGAGTAGCCCGCGCCGGTCTTCTCCTTGAGCGGCGGCGCCGGGAAGTGGGTGAAGCTCGCCGGCAGCAGGCCATGCGCCTTCAGAACGATGGCGGGCGCCGCGCAGATCGCTGCGGTGCACTTGCCGGCGGCGACCTGCGCCTTGAGCAGCTCGGTGAGCTTCGCGTTCTCGCTCAGGTGCTTCGCGCCGGGCATGCCGCCCGGCAGCGCGATCGCGTCCCACTCATCCTTGCAGCACTCGTCGATGTGCTTGTCTGCGACCACGGTGAGGCCTCTAGCGCACTTGACCTGCAGGCGGCCCTCGGGCATGACGGAGGCTGTCACCACCTCGACGCCGCCGCGTACGAGCGTGTCGGTGGTGCACGAGAGCTCGATTTCCTCCGAAGCGTCGGCGATCGGGACCAGCACGCGCGGCATGCCTTCACGGCGAAAGAATTTTATGACAATCAAACTCGGCGAAAGAAACCGCGAGGCTGCACTACTGGTGCGGTTCCAAGACGCAGGTTAATGACTAGCAGCACTGCCGGTGGCATACGAGCCGCCACAGCCGGTGTGCGGCCGTGCTCTGCCACCTGCCTGCGGCGTACGCACAATGTGCGCTCGCATTGGATGCCCTGCTGATGGACCTGCGTCGCCTAGCTGCACGAGAGCAATGCCGCAGGCGGAGGCCGAGGCGTAGATTGCGAGCACACACGTTGGAGCTGTGAGGAGCAACCCCTTCGTGGATAGCATCCCTTAATTGCCACTCCTCCTGCGGCTTGCACCCTTGCAGCGCGTCACTCGCTCATGCTCTCCAGGAGCTATGGCGGGCGCGTGTGGGGGGATGTAGCCTGTTTTTGGCCGGTTCTGACCCGTTTACTATCAGTACCATGCCTGGGCCACAAGAATCGCACACGGGGAGCGGCTCAGGGGCCCAGTAAGCCGCGGAATCGCCAAATGTCACAACCCGGCTCACCCAGGGCTGGACCTAGTCAGGGGGGCGCAGCGCGGCGCAGAGAGTGCTAGGCACAGGGGAAAGAAATTTCTTTCCAAATCCTATCTCGAGGTCTAGTTGGCGCTCGGGCACTCATATACAGACTGGGCTCAGCCACTGAGGTGACCTTATCACCTACAGCGCCTGCGCTCATGGTGTCATGGTGCCATGCTAGTGTCATGCGTGCTGCCACATCCTACTAGTTCTACAACTCCCTCGCCCCTCACCCCTCGCCGGCCCACACTGCGTGCCTTGGGCCTGCTCGCACCCGCCGCGGTCGCGCCACCAGTGCACAAAGTCCCTCCTGTCCATGCCGCCCTCGTAGAGCCGCTGCAGGACCGTCAGCTTCTCCTTCACGTCCGTCAGATGAAACACGACCGTCTCGTGGGCCCGCAGGGCCGAGTCGGCACAGCGCACTGATGGGTCGGAGTAGTCAGGGGTGCGTTTGGCAAAGGTGGTGCGGTTCAGCTTTGCCCAGCCGCTGCTGGTGCAGACACCCCCAGCGGAGCAGGAGGCGAGCGCCTCTTGATGCAGCAGCACCCACTCGGTGTAATACTGGTCCTTGGCGCCGATGGCGCCGAGCGACGGGCGTTTCTGCAGAATCGTGCGCCAAAGCTGCCAGAGCTCCCAGAAAAGATCCGCCGCGCTCGAGTCGGCGAAGAAGAAGCCAATGTTGGGCTCGGTGTTCCAAACGTTGTCCATGAAGTGAAGCGACTCGTTGGCAGGCCTGGGCAGCGCCAGCAGGGCGGCGAGAGGGCTCTCGAACCAGAACACGTCCATCTCGCTGTACAGGCAGGCGCGGCCGCGTAGGACCAGGCTGACGAGGAGCATCTTGCTCGCGCCCGTCAGCCACGGGCACCCGCCAAATCCGCACGCTGCGTTCTTGTCTCTCTCTTCTGCTAGGGGGTTGTCGACGGCCTCGGTATAGAAGGGGATGCCGCACAATCCGGAGAGTTGTCGTGCGCTGTCGTTTCTCATGGCGGCCCATGCCGTCGCATCGAGGAAGACGGCAACGCGGTGAGGGAAGCCAAGCTCACCCGTGCGCTGGAACCACCGGGTCAAGAGGTGCAGATACTTGCTATCGAGGCTGGTCAGCACCACAGGCTCCGCATCCTTCCAGCCCCGGCTGCACCGGGCGTAAGTGTTGCGCGCCATCTGCTCCAACCCATCGAGCACGACTCGGCGCGACGCAGCCGCCTTGTCTTCAACGACCACTCCAGGATCCTCGAGACCTTCCATACTCGATACCCCCTGCGCGGGCGGCCGCAAGATGGGCTGCCGGGACAGCGCAACGTCCAGCTCTCCGTCCACGTAGGCAAGTTGCAGCATGCCATCGTGCGGCTGCACCTGGCGACGCCGCAGGGCGTTAAGGATGCGGCGCGTGTGATCCGTGTGGAAGAGGATGGCAGCGGTGCCCCACATGGCATGTGGGATCCTTCGCCAAAAGTCGTGGTTGCCAGCGGCCTCATTCTCGCGCAGCCAGGAGCGATGGCTTGCGCTCGGCTCTGGCCCGCCGCCTGTCAGCTTAGCAAGGTGCCACGTGCCAACCGGCCGCTCGCGCAGGAAGGCGTCGTAGTTGCGTCTCCACGCCTCGCTGACCTGTACGTCATCCTCGAGCACTAGCATCAGCCCCTGGTACCCGGGGTGCGAGAGGATGTGCTCGAGCAGCGCCATAAAGGAGAGAGTGAGGCCCAGGACCTTTGGGCACGCGTTCCAACTGGGATCCTTGTGCTCCAAGATGTCGTGAAAAGGACGATACACGTCAATGTGCGGACACCGCCTGTGCCCGTCCCAAGGTGGGTGTACGCAGCACGAGGGGTTTGAGGCGTTGCAGAGTGCATCTCCGCTTCGCGCCGCCTGCAGACGGAGCCGGCAGTCGTCGCTGCGAAGGAGAACGCTGCGCTGAGGCACGCTCCACAGGCGGTGCTCGTCGTTGGCCACACTGCCAAGCGCCCAAGCCGGCCCTGCCTCGAACCGCCGCAGCTTCTTGCCGTGGTCAACATTCAGCTCAAGGTTGAGCCACAGTTCCGACGCGAGTGCACGGGCACGTCGTTTGGACTTGGCCGTGTTGAGATACCAGATTTGCTGCGGGGCCGCCTCGCACCATGCGCAGCCGGTGCACCAGCCGCCGTCACGCCACTGCTTGTCAGTGCACATCGTTATGATGCTCTGCGGGTGTGCATGGCACCAGGTCTTGCAGTTTGGTCGTTCAGCCATGCCATTGCACCAGTCGCAGCCGGCGCACCAGCCTCCGGCCCGCCACTTCGGGTGGTTGCACATCTCTTCGCGGCTGCTTTGGTGCGTATGGCACCACTCCCTGCAATCGGGCCGGTCGGCCTCGCCGCTGCAACTCTGACACATGGCCAGCAGCAAGATCTGGGGAGCGCGCGCGGGCGAGCGCCGCGCGCTACTCGCTCCCATATACGTGCCTGGTACCATGGACGTGTCGTACCCTAAGTTTCTTCTAAATAAAAACGGACACCTCTCTACTGTGAGATGGGTAAAAAGGAACAGGCCCCCGCCCTTGCGATCTTTGTGCAGGGTTCTTTGTGGGTGTGGTCGGCGACTAGCCGGGGTCGTCCTCCCGATGGGGGACTAGCACTAGCCGTCTTCCACATGGTCCCTCGGGTCCCTGCTGCTCCTAATCTCTTCGTACATCCTCCTGCTGATCTCCGCAAAGTCCTGCTCCCTCCCTCGTCTCACCCTGCGCGTCTGCTCCGCCTCACCGTCTTCTGCCCTGCGTCGTCTGGCGACGGGTCCTCCATAGTCGGTCGAAGTCGCCGCCCTCCTCGTGCCTCTTCCCAACGTTCCCTCGGCGGCCGATGCCGTCTGCTCCGGCTCCCCAGTCCCCGGGTCTGCCCTGCTCTCGTCTGCGCTAGTTTCTGCTTCGTCCTCACCGGCGTCTCTCCTCTTCCCTCTCCTAAGTTTCTTCGAGACCTCGCGAGCGTTCAGTTATTCACAGCGGACAGTGTGAGTTGGGCCGGGCAGGGCAGTGTGGATTTCACACCCGGGGCAGGTAGGGGATCGGGCCGGGCAGTTGTGCGGCAGTGTGCTGGCAGGGCAGTACGGTAGGGCAGGGCAGAGCAGGGCAGGGCAGTTGGCTGTTGGGGTCATAATTGCAGGGCTGAGATTTGGGATCTCAGGTGGTGAAAAAAGGGGGCGATAACCATATTCCTACGGAGGAGTGTGGTTTCTTAATGGTACGTTTTCTTAATGCCCGCAACCCATGGTAGTACGATGCGTGAAATCCGGCACGGTTTCACGCCTGCTCTGCTGAGGGGAGGGGCCGGGCTCATAGCGGCGAGTCGAGCTCCTTCTTCTGGCCCCCCGTCATGTGATATTCCCTATGTGCAATGAGACGTAACGAACGGACGTCGGTGCAATTTCCTGTTGGCAGGTGAGTGCGCACGCGGTCGTTCCAGCTCTCTGCTATGGGTTCTGACTCAGTCGCCAGTCGCCATGGTCGATGTCAACAACCTTCTGAGCAGGTTCGTACTTGCGGCTCTGCTGAAACCATCGTTACGTTGCATACTACGTCGAGTAGTCGGCGACACTTGGCCCGGTTGGCCTCGTGCCAAACCTGTAATATTCACTATTGGAGCGAGGCACGTACGCGTCTACGAGATGGTGAATCCAGATAGAATTCGGGTCGGCGGCGCAACTGTTCGCGGCATAGTGGACGTAAACAGTCATCTCGGGCTCGGACACGTCGAAAATCGACTTCACGTTGTCCCTGTGTGCCTGATCGCTCGCAGCTGGCCGGAAGTCAGACTCGGGGTCGTAATTGATATCGACCAAGTTGCGGCGCACGACCGCAATACTTCTACTTGCGTGACACTTTGCCTGGCTGAGAGCAAATGCGCCAGCAAAGGGCATCGACGTGCGGAGATACTCGTCATAATCAATCGACAAGACGTGCCCGACACCATCAAAGCGTGCCCGAGAGAAAGCCTCGTACATGACGAGCACCTGGTCGAAAATGTAGCTCCTCGTGACAAAAGCGTCAAAGGTGCGCCGATTGTCGGATATGAATGGGACCGTCACGAGGTCGACTCTAGGGCGATGCGCCACAATGCTCTCCAGCAATGAGGAAGATGGGCGATCGTAGAGATAGAAGCGCGGTGCCGCAAGCAGCTGGTCGTGGTGCTCCACCCAGGAGGCAATCTGACGGCGACTGATGATGCCGTTGTCGTTGAGGGGTCGCGCTGTGACGGCAAACCTAGCAGGCAGGGGGACGCGCCCACACATTGGCAGCGATACGACCTTCCACCCAGCAAGGCGGAGCTCGAGGCGGTCCTTGACCTCGACCGGGCATCGGAGCATGGCGATCGGTCGATAGCCGCCGTCACCGATCGTGGTGGCGTTGCATGCCTTCCAGTTTGATTCTACGCTCGACGCGTCCACTTTCAGGCTTTGAATCCACTGCTGCAACGGGATGACAGTCGCAATCGCCCACTCGGTCGACGAATCGAAGCCCGCCCGTTCCACAAAAAAGTGCACCATCCAATAGTCCGATTTTTTTTCGGTGGAGACGACAGTGAACGCGGCATCCTCGTACTCGAAGCTGAAGAACGGCTGGCAAAGCACGGGCGCAGTGGGTGAGGGCGGCGCACTGCCTGGCTCCGCTGGTGAGGGCGGCGCACTGCCTGGCTCCGCTGCGTCCTTACACTTGTCCTTCTTTTTGCTCCACTTGCAGCCGATGGCCGCGTTGCAGACTCTCTTGCCGTCAAGGCCTTTGCACGAGGACGGCCCGTCCATGGGCGGTGGCGGTGACGGTGTTGGCGGCGGTGGGTCGCCACTGCCTGGCCCCGCTGCGTCCTTACACTTGTCCTTCTTTTTGCTCCACTTGCAGCCGACGGCCGCGTTGCAGGCTCTCTTGCCGTCAAGGCCTTTGCACGAGGACGGCCAGTGCATGGGCGGTGGCGGTGACGGTGGTTCTGGTGGACTCAGACTGCGGACGTATCCGAACAGCTGGAAAGACAGAAGAGCGGTACGCAGCATCGAAAAGCGGGCCAGGCCGGCCAGCGCCTTTTTGCTCAGGGAATGCAGAGCGGGGGTGGGGGGGGTGGCGTGCGGATTTTGGTGCGCAAACGGCGCCCCATTCGGCAAGCTTTCAAGGTTTAGGGACGGACGTCCGAGCCGGACTTTCGTGCCCGGTGCATGGGGCGAAAGAAACACACACATGAAAATTCTTTTTGCCGGAGTCGCTTAGAGAGTTGTAAAGGTATTCGTCCGAAGAAATCGACTTTTCGCTTCCCTTATTCTTTTTCCTCGATTTTTCTTTTTTGAGAGCGCCTTCGTTGTTAATAATACAAGCCCAAGGTCCCTGGTAGCAGCCATCACTCGCACACACACGCCACACCGCACCGCCCCCCCAGCCCCCGCCCCGCCGAGGTGGGAAAGAGACGAGGAGATGGAACAGCCCGAAGGAGGAAGCACAAGCACGTTTTCTTTTTACCCCGGCTCTCGCAGCGCGCCGTTGGTGTTCATGAGGAGGGATTGCTGTTGTCGCGGTGTAAGCGGCGAACGAGGCACGGTCGCTCTCCGACATGAGGCGCGTTGCACTTGCCAGTGCTGCCCTGGCCTTCTGTCTGCCCGCCCAATGGGTGGCAGGTGCCTCTGCTGCTGTGGCATGCCTCACGGCTGCGACTGGCCGGCGCCTCGGCGCGTCAGCTCGGCTCGGCGTAGCGATCGTGGCCAGCGCAACTCGCCTGGACTCAACGCTCAGTCAGGAGCTCCCGCACGCGCTGCTGGCGCGAGTCATGGCGCATGCAACGCGTCTGAATGCTCGCCTCGCCTCGCGCAAATGCGACCGTCCTCGCAGCCGACAGTCCACCGCCTGCTAAAGAAGCACAGCGACGAATGCGGCACCGGCGACGCATGGCAGGCTGGTCATGACGCAGTTATAGGGTGTTGTGTGCCGTCGGAGTGACTCTCTGTGTGCGTCACGCTCTACACTCTATACATCCGCTATAGACTATACACCCTCCCTCAGCTGTTTTCTTTCTTTTCTTTTCACAAGCGGAGACAACACAGGTGTGCCTCTCTTTAGTTTTACACCGTGATGAGTCAATCAGTACACGCGTATCACGTAACCACCCGCGTATAGGCTATAGCCCACACGCACGTAGGAGCGGTAGAAACACGGTATGTCCTCTCCACATGCGCCCTGTGCGAATCCAAAGCGCCAAGTGCTGAGCAGAGCCCAGCCGTCTCTCGGCGCTCCTCAGTGCAGAGAGAGAGCGCACGAAGAAGCCTGTGGCTGGCCGTACGCACCAAGGGACGCCGGCCAAAGCTGCGGTGCCTCAGGCCGCGCCCTCGCCCGCGGCCGTGAGGCCAGCCCTCCAGCGTGCGTGCGTGGCTCCGAGGAGAGAGCTGCCCGGCCGCCTCACCAGCCAATCCAGAGCACGAGCACCGACGTGTTGTCGCACCAGCCCTGCGCCTGGCTCGCAGCGAGCAGCAGCGCCTCGGCCGCCGCCTCGGCCGCCGGCTGCGTCGCGGCGGGGGGCACCTCCTGGGACGGCGGCGGGGTGTCGCCGCCGCCCTCGCCCCCCTCCGCGGGCGGGTGGCGCTGCGCGATGACGCGACGTCCGGCCTCCGACGCGATGCGGACCGCCTCCGCGTCGCTCAACACGTCCCAGAGGCCGTCGGTCGCGAGGATGATGAGGCGGTCGGTGGCGGGGTCGAGGGAGAGGGAGGCGACGTGCGGCTCGGAGCAGACTAGCGGCCCGGCCGCCGCCTGCTCCTTGAGCTCGAGGTTGCCGAAGGCGCGCGAGATTGCGAGGCTCGTCTTGGAGGTCTTGCCCGGGCTGCCCTTGGTCTTGGTCGGGCTCGCCCGGCCCTTGCCCGGACTGCCCTTGCCCGGTGGGCGCGCGGCGGGCGGGTCGGGGTAGTAGCCGACTCCTCCGTCGCCGAGCTTGAAGACCAGCCCGGGCCTGGCGCCGGCAAACTCGGCGCTGGGCACGAAGCCTTGCGGCGGGCTCGCCTTCGAGGGGCTCGGCTCCTTGCCTCTGCCGCCGAAGACTCCGACGCGCCAGACGCCGCGCACCTGCTTGACGTCGCCTCCGTTGGCTCGCACGCGCGCGGCCTCCTCCGGCAAGTTTGGCTTGTGGTCGAGCGACAGTCGGACCGCCTCGAGCCCGCGCTCGCGCATCGAGGAGCCTCCTCGCCCCTCGGTGAGGCGCCGCCGCCCGAGCACGGCGCGCGTGTCGCCAACGTTTGCGATGGACAGGGTGGCCTCGCGAAGCAGCACGCAGAGAGCCGTGGCGCCGTCGTTGCGGCCCGTCTCGCGAATCCCGTCCAGGAAGGAGCGGTCGGTCGCGACGAAGGCGCGGTGGAGGGCGGCGCCGAGGAGCGTGGCGGGCGCGTCGCACGCCGACAGCGCAGCGGCGCTTATCGACGGGTCTGCCGCGAGCGTGGCGGGCAGCGCGCTCGCAATGAAGGTCACGCACCGGGTCCCTCCGTGGCCGTCCAAGACGGAAGCGTAGCGCAGCGCTGGGTCGGCGGCCGGCGCCGACGCGCTGGTGCTGCAGCCGCCCTCCTCCTCCTCCGCATGCAAGACGCGCAGCATCACATGCTGGTCCTCCATCGCCGGCCGCTTGCCTTGCGATGCAGCGGCGCCGCAGCCGATGTGCGGCACGGCGGCGGCGCGTGGCTGCTCGGCTGGACCGGCACCGGGACCGGCGTCGGGACCGGTCGGCGGTGGGGTGTTTGTCCTGGACGGGTCGGCAGAAGGTGAGGCTCGCGGCGAGCCTGTCCGCTCGCGCTTTGCCGAGCGCGGCGGAACCAAGTCATGCGGAGGCGGGAGCAGCGGCTCGGCCACAGTAGACGCCATCTCTCCAGCGGAAGCAGCCACCCAGGCGCGGACGACGCGGACTGGTCGTCTACCGTCTCCGCTGGTCGCGCGCTAACGCGCTAAAGAATTTTAGTCCTTCCCGGGGCTAGGGCTCTCTTGCCCGCAACCCGACACCGATCATCCGGCCCGCTGGGTGCGCTTCTTAGCTCCTCGGCCCTGGATGTGAGGTTAATAACTGCACTCCAAGTGCTCCAAGTTCTCGAGTAGGTCGCGGGAGGAGGAGCAAGCCTGCTCTAGTCTCACATGTTACTTCCTGTCGTCTGTTGTGTTGTTGTGCCCTTGTTTGTGCCCTTGGCACCGTGTGTGCTGGGGGGGGCGACAGGGAGGACGTGGCCCTGAGTTATGTGTACGCCAACCAACTCAGGGTGTGTGGCAGCCAGCTGGCTGTGTGTCTTGTGAGCCTGTTTGTGTCTGTGTGTCGCTCATGCGTGTCGTCATCATCTGTCTAGCGTCCACCCATACCGCGTTGGTGTCCAGTCCGAGCCTGGCTGTTCTTCACCTTCCTACCTAACCCCTAACCTAACGGGACTGGCATGACGGTTGCAGCGAGAATCGGCGAGGGACTGCGAAGAGAGGTAGGAAGAGGCGGACGCCCTAGGGTGGGCGACGGCTAGCACCACACTCCTCTCCTTAAAATCCCTGTGGTGGCGGCGTGCCGTCCTCCCTGTTCCCAAGTCCCATCCCTCCTTTGGGTTGTCTGTTTTCTTTCTTTCTTTAACGGGACTGGCACGGGCACTAACACAAGCAGAAGAAAAACAAGAATCGCGGCCGGCGCCAGGCAAAAGAATTTACGATGGTCTTACAGCACTAGGCACGTCCTCCGCCCACAGAGCGGGGCCAGACTGAGTCACACTTGAGATGAGGAGGACTCAGCCAGTGGAGTCGGGAGCCGAGTGGTCCATACCGAGCACCGCGCTGCGAGCCTGTCGTAGGGTGGGTGGGTGGCCAGCCACAAGCACCCCACCCAGGGACATCACGACACGCTACCACCAGCGTCCGCGTAGATTGAGTTTGAGCGAGAGATTAGACCTCTCGAGGATTAGACACGACACAACAATGTGCGTCCTGGGGTCCCCGCGCGGCGGCGCGCATCGCGCACAAGCCGCAACTGCCAACTCCCTCCCACGTTCGACGTTCGTGCACGTAGCACGTCCTCTGGTACATATGCTAGAGCCCAAACCGACCGCCGAAATTCGCACAATGTCTAGTCCTAACACGCGCCACATGACGCCCACCGCAGCCGCGTCGGTCGGCGCGCGCCGACGCCGACCATCACCACCGACCGACGGCTCGCACGGCCGTGCGGTGAGCAAAAATTTGGGTCGCTGCGCGCCTGCCGGATGCTCTGCGACGTCTGGACGCTCGCCAGAAACGCCAGGAAGCTTGCCTTCCACCCCTGGGCCCGAGGGCGAACGGCAGTGGTCGGCAGCCTCTGCGACGCTCCGATCGGCTCCTCGACCTCATCGCCTGCGACGACCAGCATGGCTCGTCGCTCGACGGCAGCCTGCCCAGTATGCTCTTGGCATTCTGTACAGCCTCGCCAGGCTCTCTGAGACGGCCTGCAGGGCCGGCGTGGACCGCCTCGGGCGCCCGCCGTGAACACTGCCCGTGCCGCCGTGTACGTCACCATCGCCTCTCTTCGTCGCCGATCTCGCCGACGCCGCTCGCCGCTCGCCGCCGCCCTGCCCTGCCCCGCCCAGCCCTCGCACAAACAAACCAACACACACACACACACACACACACACACACACACACACACACACACACACACACACACACACACACACACACACACACACACATACAGACACCGACAACAGACACACAAAACACACCCTGCCCCAACCTCGAGCGCCCCGCGCCCTCCCGCCCAACGCCCTGCACCTCACGCCTCGCGTCCCACGTACGCCCCGCGCCCCGCGCCCTCACCTCGCGCCTCACGCCTCCCTCCCCACCCTCTCAGGCATTTCTCCCCCCCTGCTGCTCGCCGACTCCTCCTCCCCCCGCATGACCGACGACTACCCGTCCTTCGGCGACTCCTCCCTCTTCGGCGCCAACGTCTACTACCGGGGGACCGTCGCCCTCGGGCGTACTGGCTTGATCCCAGCGGCACACGTCTACGAGGGGGGGCTCCGAAAGGTCGGCATGCCTGGCATGTCGGGCGACTAGGCAGGTCATTGAGACATTGACCTCCCCCCGCTTGTCCACCCGGCGTGAGGGGCGGGAGCGCAGCCATTCCAACGGCTGGGAAAGTTTCTGAACGGCTGTGCATGCGCCTGCATGCCCCGGCTTACTAAGAAGGTCCCTCGCTCCGGCTCCTCTCTCGGAAGACGCGCGCCGGCCAGGGGGACTCGCTTGCGATCCCGCTCCAGCCAGAGGCCGCGTGAGGCGTGTGGGGCGGTGCACGCTGGGGCTCGGCCCCAAGTGCGCTGGCCTCGCGTCTCGAGGGGAGGGCGGCTCGTAACTGAGGTCCGCCTGCGGAGACAGTCGTCCTCCCCTTAACCCGACGAGAGTGGGCGGGCAGCCCCCGTGCTGAGCCCTGGTCTGACAGCCTGACAGCAAACCCGGACAGCGCCTGACAGTGCCCGACAGCCTGACAGCGTTGACAGCACTTTCTCTGACAGTCTGACAGCACGTATCTGACAGCCTGACAGCCGAGTCTGACATCAGAGGGGCTCCGTCGCTGTCAGGCCCTAACGTGACAGCCTGACAGCTGCCTGACAGCCCGACAGCACACAAAGGCCTGACAGCAGCGCTGACAGCCCGACAGCCCGACCAGCCCGACAGCAGCACAGACCGTACACAGCCGTGCAGCCTCTTTCTTGTGCCCCATGAGGGTGTAACAAAACTATTACATGCAAAGACATGCACATGCGAGTGTGGTCCATGCAGTGTCATGGGATGGTCATGCCTCATGGGTCTCTCTCTCAACCCTCCCGCCCCACCTCTGCGGACCCGCGGCTGTGCTACAACTACAGATGAAGCTACCAGCTAGCCTTCTGGGGCCCTACAGCCATATGCCTACGGCGTCTGGGTGGGGGTGGCCGCCGCCGTCTATGCCGCGCTGGCCTGCCGCCGCCGCCTGCGCCTGGCTGCGCCGCCATCTGCGCTCCCCAGGCGGACCCCTTCTGGCAGAGTAGAGACTAGAGTATGTGTAGTAGAGTCCTGCTGGTCTCCTCTTGATAATGTCATAAGTGTGGATGGTGTGTCAGAGCCTGACAGCACCCCGACAGCACCAACCGACAGCACCTGACAGCACCGGCGTCTCTGACAGCAGCAGCAGCCCGACAGCTCTGACAGCTCCGACAGCGTCTGACAGCAACACCCGACAGCTCCGACAGCACCCGACAGCTACGGAGCCCCTCTGATGTCAGACAAGCACCCGACAGCACCCGACAGCACTGACAGCACCTGACAGCTGGTCTGACAGAGGCACCTGACAGTGCCTGACAGTGCCTGACAGCCTGACAGATCACCTGACAGCACCTGACAGCCTGACAGCCAGCTCAGCCAGGGCTCAGCCCCCGTGGCTGCAGGGTCGCGCTTCCGAGCCGACTCCGCCCCTCTCTCCACCCGGCCATTCCAACGGCCAGGCCGCTCGCTTAAGGCTGATTGGCTAGACGAGCGGCCTACCTCCATGGGGCTGTTGGCACGGGGGGAGGTGTCAATCACGCTCCCGGGACGCCGGAGAGATCGGGTTGGTCTCCCCCGCGGCCTTCAGCCCTGACCCCGGACGGGGACGCCGAATCACCCTCGCCCAGGGATCTACAACGCTGTCTTAAGGTCCGACCTGTGGGCCCTGCCTGCGCTCGGCACCGGGCACCGCCTCGGTATACAAAATGCGCCTGCGGGCAGCCCCTTGCAGGTACCAGGTTGCACGGGTTGCAGATCACAGATCACACATATGCTCTAATCTATGCACTCCAACGTCTTCCTCAGCGCTCAGGCCACACCCGTGGTGCGTGGACCCCGTTCATTGTGTCGCATATTTTGGCGCGGAAGGGGGAAGGCGCACCGCCACACCACTCCTTGCACTGTTATTACGGATCAGGGGTGCACTCTCAGCACAGCGGCGAGCGGGTCCAGCGGCTCAGAGAGCCCCAATCAACGCCCAAAGAAGAATGGCGTCTGCTCGACGACCGGCGTGCCCCATAGGAACTCCTGGGCCGCGAAGCCGGTGATGGCGAGCATGGCGAGCCGGCCGTTGAAGAGCTCGTTGGCGCTCAACTCCTTGCGGCGGTAAGCCCCCTCCTCGGCCATCACTCCCAGAGGATCGAACCCGAAGTCGCCGGCCAAGCGGGGCGCTGCAGGGCCAAGCCCCGAGGCCTGATTGGCGGCCTCCTCGCTGAGGTATTCGACGTAGGCGGCGGCGCCCGCCGCGAGCACAAGGAAGAAGGGGACCGGGCCGTCGCCAAGCCCTCCATTCAGGACGGAGGGGGCTCGCCCCCCTTGGAGCAGCTCAGAGAGAGGCCAGCCGGCCGCTGCGAGCATCGCCAGCCGCGCGTGCCTGATTTCCGCCTCGCGCATCTTCGCGACGGCAGCCCGCCGCTCTGTGGGCGTCATCCGCGCCATGATTAGCTCGCGCTGGCTCTGCGACGGCCACCCGCCCGTGAGGAGGTCAGGGAGGCTCTTGCTCGCGAGCGCCGTCAGGGTCAGTGGGTCGAACCCTGCGTCGCCGGCGAGCGTGCCATCGAGGTAGGACGGCGCCACCGCGCCAGGCTTCCACAGAGCCTTGCGCGCCGTGTCGGACATGCAGACGGTGGCAGCAAGTCGGTCGGCTGTTCTCGCGGCGGCGCGCAGAGGCGCGGAGAGCTTCTGCATCTTGGCCCTGTAGGCACGAGCGTCGAACCCGACAGTGGAGAGCTCGGTCAGGAGGAGGGCCGGACCGCGTAGCGGCGCGAAGCCGGAGGCGGCGGGCGAGGCGAGAGAGAGCATAACACACACGGTAGGTGTGTATCGACCAGTGAGGAATGTGCAGGGAAGCGGCCGGGAAAAGTTCAGGACAAAGTTGTCGGGGAAAAAAGTAATTGCTGCCGTCCATTCGCCGTCCTCGGGGGGCCGCCAACCCCCCATACGATAGAGTTCAACGAATACGATAGAGTACTCCTAGGATCCTAGGTATCTGATACCCCTGGGTACGGAGAGAGTGTCTTTGGCTCGCGCCGGGGCGCTCGTTGCTCCTCCGTCTCTTTGCATCTTCCATAACTTGCGAATTTCAGAAGCAGGGAGGGATGCAACGATGACCGTTTTCTCGACACGCGAGTGACATCGCGGCCGCGGGGCGCGTGCGCTGCGTCGCCTTTATCATATCGGGCGGAGTTCTGTGGCGGAGAAGCTTTGCGTTTGCAATTCGCAGCCTATCCCCTGTCCAGCCTGCACGAGTGTTCACCGACATCGAGTCGGCGCGCCTCTGGGTCAACGACTGCGTGTCGCAGTCGGACGGACAGGTCGCGCCGCCAGTGCGACAGAGCAGCCCAGCCGGCTGAATGCAGGGAGTTAAATCTCTATGTACTGTGGTCGTGTTCGTGAGATCTGCTCTGATTGGGGTGGTCGTCGCACTCGTGAGTCGTCTCCGTACTCCGAGTCTGACTCGTGTGTCACGTGTCAGTGACACAGTCACACGTTGACAAGAGTGAGAAGTGAGTGTGCAGTGAGATGTGACCTTGTGAGAACGTGCGTGACGCCCCCGTGAGTCGTGACGGCTGACGCTTGTCGCTTGAGAGGGTTGTTGCACGAGTATATGGGCCAAAAGCGTCGAAAATGTCCGCAAAAAGCGTGTCTCGAGTTTGTTGCAGCTCCGCAGCCAGCGCGGGCTGCCAGGACGCACCGCTCGCGCGTTCGGCACACTCGGTGGACCCCACCGAGTGTGCCGAACCAACTGGAGTGAAATTGCTCGACGCCGTGCTCGCTGTGGGGCTGCAACAAACTCGCCGCCGAGCGTGCCACCGACGGCGTCCCGTCGGAGGTGATGGAGTGTGAGACCTGAGGCTGCGGAGGTGACGCCTGAGGTACCGGCCCGTGCACAACGACTCAGCCGGCGACCGCCACGGGCTCAGACGAGACCTGTCGACGCGTTCCGGCTCAGCTTCACCATGGTCCTCGGGCGTCTGTCGACGTCAGGACCACCCATACAGCTTGCGGGTTTGAGGTCGCAAGAGCCAAGATGGTGGCGTTTGGACATCCCAACCATCCCACAAGACAGCCTGTAGGTGATGGCGGGACGGCGCAGTGTTTGTGGCACTCGGCAGTAGGCACCCGCGGCACGGCCCCGCAGTCGGCTCTCGCGGGCTGCGGAACCGGCCCCAGAAGGGGACGGTCCGGGCGAGTGTGGCAGCTCCTGCGATAGTATGGGCACCATCTATCACAACACTACTGACCCTGGCCATTAGAGCTGCCAGGAATAGCGTCAGGAGCCGGTAGGAGTCAAAACCCCTCATATTTGAGACATCGTGGCCCATATACTCGTGCAACAACCCGAGATGACGGAGTCAGTCCAATATCGAATGTGCTGATGGAGATTGGAGATGGAGTGTGCCCACACCCCATATACTCCGTAACCAATACAGTTGCAGGCAATAGACCGTAGATAGGTGTACATTGTCTGAAGGTGCAAGGTGGTAACTCTGAAACTGTACGCACTGGACGCGGGTCCGACTGAGAGGTGTGTGTACATGCGTCATGCCGTGTGAGCCCGCGTAACTGAATACACGGGAATTGGGTGCACCGCGGGGGCGGAGTCCGGCGGAGAGGCGGCGGGGCGCGAGGCGCGAGGGTGCTCCGGCAGTCCCCTCTAAACAAAGAGGCGCGCAGTGCTCGCCTCGGAGTCTCACTTCTCCTCTTGCAGCTCCACAATGAATCCTGTGGCGAGCGGCACGTACAGGCTGCGGCGGGTCTGCGAGCTGTCGCCCGAGTGGACGTAGTATGGCGCGCGCGCGCGCGCCGCGTCGAGCCGTGCGCGAAAGGGCTCGAGACTGCTCACGCGCAGCCCGAGCCCGTTGCCGAGGAACGTCGAGAGGGCGGGGTCCGCGAGGGCGAGCTGCCCCACGTCCTCGCCCGCGTGCTTTGCGTGCCCCGCCACCAGGCGGCGCTGCACCTCGCGCACACTCGCCGTCGAGCCGCCGCTCGGCTGGTCCGTCTTTGAGAACTGGTGCACAAAGTGAAGGTCGAAGTCGGCGAGGCGCTGCCACTTGAGCATCGCGCACTCGCCGTTGGAGAACCGGTGCGAGCGCGGCTGCAGGAAGGTGAGCACGTCGCCGAGCCCCTCACCGCCGATGAAGCGCTGCAAGTGCTGCAGCGCCGCCTCCGGCGTGTCGGTCGGCAGGGCGAAGTGCTTGGCCTGCAAGTGCGGGATCGGCGGCAGCGGCGCGTCCGGCCTCACTGCGGAGCGCCACGCGCTCGGCGGCGGGGTCGGGAGGCGCGAGGTCGGGGTCGTGGCTCGGCAAAAGTTAAAGGGCTCGGTCGCGGCGAGACTCATGTTGAGTCCCTGCAGCTGGAAGGTGATGCCCCTGGGTATCTCCACGTACGCAGACGTGCCGCGCGTCACGAAGGGCAAGCCGTCGCGCAGCAGCCTGACCAGCACCGCGTCGAGGTTCTCCGTCCACAGCGCCAGGTGCCAGTCCTGCCACCAGTCCCACGTCTCCTGCACGCCGAAGCGGTGCACCTTTGACATCTCGTCGGCGAGCCGCTCGGCGGTGAGGAGGCTGCCCTCCGAGGCGGGCGGCTCGTCGCTCCTGACGAAGTAGACGTCGTGCGGCCCTTCGTTCAGGTGACGCGTGTCGGCCCGCAGGGCCTGCGTGGCCTGACTCGTGCTGCCGGGCCGGAAGCGGACTGCCGCCACAAGCCTGCCGTGCGCGGCCGCGCGAGTCTGAAACGTGCGCGGGTCCTCGAGCAGGGTTGCGCCCAGGTAGTCGACTAGGAAGGCCGCCGCGAGCCGGGGCGTCGGGGTGACGAAGCTGGAAAAGGCGTACCGGGCGGCGGGGAGCGGAAGCGACGACGACTCTGCGCCCCGCTGCCGCGTCTGGCTGCCGGGGCGCTTGCTGCCTCGCCCCCTCGAGGGCGGATTGGCGGGTGCGGGCTGCAGCACGCGGCAGACGACGGGAAACGAGGCTGGGACGGTGTGCGTCGCCGGCACGGTGTGCAGCTCGCACTTGGTGTAGGCGCCGCCTCGTGCCCCGCCTCGCGGAAAGGTGCTGTGCTTAGGCGACGCACCCTCCGTCCACGGCACAGCGAGCCTCGCACTGGGACTGGGAGAGCTCCCAGATCTCGCTGTAGACGCCGTAGCCCTCTCGAGTGCGGCACATGCCCGATTCACTTCCACGAACTGGCGAGGCAAAGATCCGGCGCGTCGAGGCCAGAGGCGCTGGCGAGGGCAGCGTTGGCGGCGGTGATCGGGGCGCAAGCGGCGGCGGCGGCGGCGAGTGTGGCGGCGGTGGTGAGTACTTCCAGCGAACAAGAGAGCCGAGAGACGAGTAACTCGCCGGCGACCACCGCCTGAGGTACTCCCCCCAGGTTTGTGGCGAAAACGGCGGCGGCGGCGGCGGCGGCGCGGCGGGTGCAAGCATGTCCTCGATTTGATGTGATTTGATTCTGTTATCTCGTTTCTTTTCTTTACTCAAGCACTTGCAAGAACACTGCGGCCTGGGTCGGGCTCCCCTCCCCCGCATGGGTACCCCCTAGGGGCCCCGCCTCCCCCCAGAGGCGTGTTGCGACACGCGCGTCGCGCGGGCAGAACACTCCGAAGTTAAAAAACAAATCTGGATTTCCCGAAGTTTTGGTATTGTGAACGTTCCTTGAAGTTCAACTCTCTCTCTTGAAGTTCCTAAGCCGTACTCCCAAACGCATATTGAATGTACGCCAACAATATACTCCAGAATGTACGTCAGTGTGAGGGGTGCACCAACCGCAGAGCGTTGTGTTTTGCCTTTAAATTTCAACAGTTTTTTTTTGAATGTATTTTAATCGTTTACGTTTTTCGTCCAACACAAACAACAACTCTAACACTCACACGTCATTTGGGGCCTGGAGCCCTGTTCACGCGCGCGCGAGACGTGCAGACAGGGTTGCCAGGTGAGAGCGAATGGCGCGGTTCACGCCTCGCACAACACTCAGTGAACAGAGAGAGAGATGCGCTCTGCATGGTGGGACATAAAAGAGAGCGAGTACTTGGGCGAGTAGGCTGTGCGGTCAACGCTGCCGCGCGCGACTTTGCGCGCGAGGCGGCGCAGCTTGAGAACGGCGGTGGGCGAGAAGCCGCCGCCGAACGTCTCGTGGAGCAGCAGGTTGAAGTTGTTGCGCTTGACAAAGATCGCGTCGTGGTAGAAACCGCGATGCGCCTGACGTAGCCGTGGCCGGTCTTGTGGGAGAAGGGTTGGCCGGGCTGCCCGCGCGCCTTGCAGCCCATGTTTAGGCGGCGGGCCTTCTCTTCGGTGTTGCCGAAGGCGTAGGAGTGGCCAACGGAGGCGGGCGTGCCGCCGCTCGAGGCGTTGCCAACGCCCGGCGAGGAGGTCTTGAGGAGGGGCGTCCAGAGCTTGACTTCATTCACCTCATCGCATCCTCCCGGGCCAGCGTGGGGTTCCGCGAGGTCGACCTTGTACCCCTCGTTGTACTGCCGGGTGAGCTCTGGTTTCTCCTTGTCACCGTGCACGACCGGCGCGTTGGCCGGGGCGCGCATCGCGTCCGCCCAGGCGGCGAGGACGCCGTCGTGGGGCCGCCGGTGGTGGGCCTTGTTGTAAAGGTAGTCGCCGAAGAAATCGACTGGGATTGCTAAAAATCTCTCTCTCTCACACTGGGTTCTGCCACGGCGCACGGGACGTCCACGGCACCTCCACGCGGTCCTCGTCGATCCTTATCTGATATCATTATCTCCATCTCCTAGTAGAGGTGTCCGTTTTGTTTATTTATTTACGTCCTCGTCGAGGCTCTCCCCTCCACGCACACGACTAAATATACGCATCAACGATGAGCCAAAGGCGCGCCCTCTCGCTCGCGCGCCGCGCCGAGCGCCGGCCCGGACAAGCCAACACCAGCTCACCGGCGTCACAGCTCACACCCACACACCCACGCGCGCGCTCCTCTCGCCAAAGCAAGCGCCGCGGCCCCCCGGAGCACTTCCAAAGGACGCGAGGTCGGACATTCTCGAGGTGATCTCGAGGCGACCTCGGCGCCCCCCCCCCCCTCCTTTCAGAAGGAGGCGAGGTCGCGCCGCAGCCGCCGCACGGTGTTTGCGAGGCTCGAGTTGGTTCGTCGGCCGACGACGTCGCGCGCCCACGCGGGCGCGGCGGCGTTGCGCACCTTGGCCCGCAGCGGCCCGTCCCTGTCGTTCCGCGCGGCGGCGGAGGCGATCGACGCGAGGTAGGTGTTGGCCTCGTGCAGGCCGAGGAAGTGGAACATGCTCCTCCACTTCGAGGCTGCGACCTCCTTGGAGCCGGCCACGTCCGAGAGGCGGAGCACGAGCGCTCGCTCGGGCTTGCGCCGCACCGCGCGCATCAGAGGGCCGAGGCTGTCGAGGCCGAGCGCCCTGCACTGGTCGCCGTGAGACGCGTTCGTGCTCGACGCCCACTCGGCCACGCACTGCTCGAGCGGGTCCCAGAGCAGGGCGACCACGCGCGTGCCGCCGCCGCCCCGCCCGCCGCCCCGCCCCTTGCCCTCCCGCTCCTTGACCGCCCGCAGCAGCCGCGCCGCTCCCCGCTCGAACCGGACGACAGTGCGTCGCTTATGTCTCCGGCCCTGCGGCGCCGCGTCGCGCTCGCTGCCCTCGCAGCTGAGCGAGAGGCGCGGCCGCGCGCAGAGCGCGCCAAACACGCGGCGCAGCACCTGCACCCCCAGCGCAGAGTGCGAGCCCGCCACGATCAGAGACGGACGCGCCTGCCGCGCGCGCCTCGCGGCCCGCCGCTCGCCGCGCCGCCGCTGTGCCACGATGGAGCCGGCCAGGCTCATCGGCTGCGTGCCCAGCCAGCGGGCCATCGCCATCGGGGCGGTCGCGTTGCTCCGTGACGCCAGCGCGGCGAGCACGTCGGCCGGCCCACCACCGCGGCCCAGCACCGTGACGCGCCCCCACAAGGAAAACCAACCAAGCGTCAGAAGAACCCCGATGCACGTCCACTGCACCAGTCTGCAACCCCCTTGGGGCGTTGCCGGAGGAGGCGGCCTCGCGGCCCCAGGACTCGCCCCGCTCACAAGAGAGTAGCCCTCGGGCATACGGCGGATTCGCTTTCTTTTTTCTGACTCGTCGAAACCATCGATTGAGGACGCTCGACACAGGCGCGGACCCCTGATCGTCCTTCCAAAATCCTGCTCGTGCAGGTGTGGACCCTGTCCTCCTCCCCCATCCGTCGTTTGGGTTTGTCCCTCGAGTTTCTTTATTTCTTTTCGGCGCGGACTGGCACGTGCTGGTACTACACAGGCACACGCGAGAGGGGAAGAACAGCGCTAGGGCTACGCCCAACAGGCTGGCCGTGGCGGGCGGCGCCACCGGGGCGCACCGAGGTGCGTTTGTTTTCCTTGCTCGCTTGTGCAAGCGAGGGAGAGCCCTTCGAACGTGTCAGTTTAACACCGTTTAGCGCGGGTTAGGGGCCCTTAACCCAGGGCGGTTTAGCGTTGTCTACCCTGAACGGTCACTAAACGCGCCTAAACGGAGTTGATCCGGCCTGCGGCCGCCATTTGTCGGGCTGGACTAGTCGTGTTTAGTCGTCGTTTAGTCCGACGATCGGCCGTTTAGCCGGATGGCGTCCACGCGCCTTGGCTGGAGCGCGAGCTGGCCAACGGCGGAATCGAGCAGCGCGAGAGAACACGGATGCGCGGCGAGGAAGTGCCGCGCAAGCGGCTGGTATGCAAGTGCGGCTTTGAGTTGCAGCTTCACGTCTCGGAGGCGGAGTACGAGCGTCACAGGCGCAGCAAAGCGCACACAGCATTGGGACGCCCCTCGTCGTCCGGGCGAGGACTCTCTGGATGCTTCAGTAGCTGCCTGCCGAGTGGGGCGCAATCATCGACGAGCAGACGGCCTTCCTTGTTTGGCGCCTCCTCCCAGGTTGCCGCGGTCAACGCCGAGGCGCGTGCACGTGCTGCACGAGATATGCAGCGGGTCGAGGCGGCGATCAGCGAGGCAACTGCAGCCGCCACCGCAGAGGGCGAAGCTCTAGCGATCGCTGCGGACGAGCAGGAGCGGCAGTTGCAGCAGAAGCTGCACACGGCCAAGGCTAAGAGGTACGCGCTGTTCGAAGCGACGCCGGCGTAGGTCACGCCTCTCCTGGCGAGCGCGTCGGGGTGGAGGAGGTCTCCTGCCCCTCGCGGGCCTGGCGGGCTTGCTCCTTGTGCGCCTCCCACCCTGGGTCGGTCTCCACCCTCGAGTCACCGGAGCCGACAGCGGCTGCAATGCTGCCGTTGGGCGTGACGCGAATGTAGGTGAGGGTGGCGTTGAGTTCCTCGCGGGAGGCGGCGAGCGGAGACTCGGGGGAAGGCGACGGTGGCGGACTCGCGCCGTTTGCGGTGTCGGTGGCGGTGCGCGCGGCCGTGGGAGATGCTGGCATATGTGTATGTCTGACGGTAGAGGAGCGTGGACGCGCGCGAAACTTCTGGAGGGGTTTAGGGCGGTTTAGTGTTAAACGGAGCTCCCCGGCCAGGCAGACCATTTGTCGAGGCGGTTTAGCATCGTTTAGGCGTGTTTAGTGACCGTCTAGGGTAAACGGCGCTAAACCGCCCTGGGTTAGGGGGCGCTAAACCACCCTAACCCACCCCGTTCGAGGGGCTCTCGCGAGGCTCCAGGGCTGTGCCGGCCTCAAACAGGGATAATAAGATGCCCTGCCTCCTGCTCGCGGTGCTGCCTGGCGTCGCAGCGGTTATCCTCGGGAGCCGCGGCGTTTTTCCGCCTCGCTCGAGCTGCATCGCCATGGCTCAACCAGAGTACATCTTTGAAATGGCGGAGGACCGCTCGTCGATCCGGTTCGGCTGCCGGCAGCGCAGCCTCACTCCCGTCAAGCCCGAGGCGGGTGGATCCCTGCAGGAGTTCATCGGCAGCGACGCTTCGGCGATCGTCATGTCATCGTGGGACGCCGGGCAGGTCAAGGCGGCACACAACAGCCGGCGACTCTCTCGGCTCACGGCCACTCGCATCATCTCAGCCGCCTCTCGTGCGCGCTGCACAGGTCCAGCGCGTCGACGGCACGGACGACGAGTTCCTGATAGCGGTCGAGGAGTTTGACTTTGTGGCGCTCCGCTTCGCCGTGGAGCTCCGCGCAAAGTGCACGCTCGACGCCGCCACGACGACGGCGAGGCTCGAGTCGCGCGGCTTCCGCCTGATCGGCTCCGGGCTGGGCAGCATCGCAGACGCGATCGACGTCCGCGTGACCGGCGCGCTGCGCCCGTCTGCGCCTGACGCGAGGCTCTGTGCGCTCTCCGGCGACGTCTCCTTCGTCGCCTCTGGCGCACTGCCGGACGTGCTTCGCGCCGCGCCGGAGCCGGCGCGGGACACCTCCGAGACACCTCCCGCGCCCGACACGCAGCCTCACCACCGCACCCAGCCATTCGCCTCCGTCATCGGCCACTCCGCCCCCTGACGCACCGCCGCACCCACGATATTCAGGCGCTCCGCGCGGCTGCAAACCTGATGAGCAGGAGCCTCATCGGTGCCGCACAGGAGCGGTTCAACACGCGTGTGCCGCGGGCGTACGCGACGTGGGCGCAGTCACGGTGATAGAGCACCCTTTGGGGGATGAGTTGCCATATTGTCACCACCGCCCACAAACCGCGCAAAACGAGTGCTAACTACTAAGAACGGGGTACGGCTCAGGCCGCACCGGCACTGCCGCGGACGCGGGACCGCACGATATACGCGCAGCACAAACTACCCCTCTCTCTCTCTTCGCACGCACGGCCGGACGTCAACACATTCAATTTGTGACACAAATATAGAGTATGTAATGGTAATAGCAGCCCGTCTGCACTGGTCTGAAAAATAATCCTCTCTTTTTAGCCATCACTGTCCACTTTGAAATCTTGTTCTTGGATTTGTTGTCCCGACCCGACCCGTCTTAGATAGCAAAAAGGCGCCGCACCACGCGGCCCTGGATGTGTGCGGCTAATGA